ACTTTGAATACATAATAACCGAACCGAACCCGAAGTAATCCGAACCGAACCGATCCGAACATATAAAATATACGAATGGAGGCTTGAGGTGTACACCCGAAAAACCGAAAAACCGAACAAACCGAACCGAACCCGAATGGACATCCGAACGCCCAGACCTAGTTTAATAGTTTACTAAAAATATAATTGATTACATTAGTTTATAAGTGATCCGGATCCGACCTCATGTCGAACCGGATCTATTCTCATGTCGATCTTGATCTGTTTTCATATTGATACAAATATAAACCATTATTATTACAAACATTCAGAAATTTGATGAAACCAAATCATTATAAATATAAGTTATAAAGGTTATATCAAAATAATTATATCCACAAATATATTCCCGCACATACGTGCGGGTCCTTCTTGCATGAAGACAACATGTCCATGTAGAGCTGACACTTACTGATGTATGTTTCAAAGTCGTGGAGGCACTAAGCTTATACAAGAAAAGATTGGAATATATATATATTATGGTTCGACAATAAAAGAACTAAAAAGCTTTTGTTAATTCCAAGGTCTAACTTACATTTTGTATAAGCGAAAAAAAAAAACTTACATTTTGGAAAACTTTGCTTACTGTTTCACATGGACTAGGGTCAGAGACCACTGGGGCTGGTGGGCTGCGGATCAAACTAAACTAATGATCAGTCTATAAATAAAATTGTTTAAAAGCATTAAAAATGGGTAATAGAATAGTTAAAGCGCCTACTTCAAACCGTGTCTCCAAACAGAGATTCACCATGGCTAGTACCCCTATCCTGATCATTGCTACTAGCCCTGTCATTTCTATTCCGAAATATGCCTTCAAACAGAGAATAGTCATCTTTATCGCTCCTTGCCCTGTATGAATCATCATCGCTACTGGCTCTATACGTACACGGAGTAGATCTTTCTGGACAACCAAATTTTATTTTTTTATTAATGATGACATTGATAAATGTAAAGGCATCTTAAATGATACAAACATGGTGACTGGAGAGGGCGAAGCCAAAGATCAAAACATAATAAAAAGTCGCATATAAAGCTAAACCATAAGAGAAGTATTTTAACAAGTAAAAATGGTCTTTTGCAACTGACATTTCTTTTCAGCACTCAAATTTTCAAATGTACTACTCGTGATGTATACCAGTACGAGTAGGTGAGCTGCGTGCAGGTGCCGGTGCATGCATGAGCAGAGGATGTTACAGGTGCTGGTCGAGGTTGAGGTGAAGAACGAGGAGTAGAAGCAGCTGATTGAGGTCGAGGTGAAGGGCGAGAAGAAGATCTGCTGCCTGAACAATTAGAAGAAAAAAAGAGACATCATTTGATTTGTTACATAACATTTAAACCTGTAAAGCTAAACACTTGGAGATCTCGAAAAACTACACTTACCATTCATTACTATGGCGATTTTCATTCAAAACGTTATGTATTTTGCCCACACAAACAGTTCATCTGTTTGTATTAAGATTTAAATATTGAATAGTTTGAAAATTTATAATTATATTGAGAGTTTGAAAAGCTCGTTCAAGTCTGCATATGATTAAGTTTGTAAACAATTGTCCGTTAAGTTGGTTCATTTGAGTTAGCTTTTTATTTGATGACCAAAAATAAACTCATATGTATTTGAGTTAGCTTTAACCGTAAGTTTGTTTTATCATTGTCACTATTTTAAAATTTTATATGGTTTTCACATGTCCAAACACTTCAAACTTATTTCGATTTTTGTTAAAGCTGAAAGAAATCACCAATATACAAGAAGGGTTTGCAAGACATGATCAAACTCTGCTGATACCACCTCCTTATGGAAATCATACCGCAAAAAGTAAGTTTACAATGATTATAATTAAGTTACCAAACAATTATATATTCAAACCGTGTGATGTTAATCGGTATATTCTTTTATGCTAGGTAAACGATGTTTTGGTTCTACTTCATACATTACTAAACAACAACCATCACACTGTTTCACAAGTATATAACTTGCCCAGGATAACTTTAGAACAAGAATTTACAGATATGTTATTCTCTGTATCTTTAGAAGTTGAGAGTGAATTATTTGGGATATTTTTTTCTGCAACAATAGAAAAAAGCAAAGGCCCAGCAAAAAGAAAAAGTATAATCCCACGAGAAGGATTTTAGAGCATCCGCAAGGGCATAACCAAGAAGATGCAACTTAGTGTAATTATAATATATTAATAATGTAATAGTGAATTTTAAGAACCAAACAAAATTAGGTAGGTATTGGTTGAACCCTTAGGTTCTTACATTTATAATAATATAATAATTAATTTGATTAATTAATTTTTAAAAAATTTAAATGAAAAATTATATAAACATATAAATTAGAACAACAATAAAGATAGAAACATATAATTATAAACAAAACATAAACAAAGTTTATAAAACTTTTGAAACAAAACACAAACAAACTTTATAAAACAAAATATAAACAAATAATAACAAAAAAGATAATTAAAGAAAAAAAATTAGAAACATAAAAGATAGAAACATAAAAAAATAAAAACATAAACTTAAAAAGAAGAAACATAATAATTAAAACATAAACTTAAAAAGAAGAAACATAATAATTAAAACATAAAACATTTTTGGCTGTCAAAAAAAAAAAAGAAAAAAACACAAAACACAAAACATTTTCTTCACCCAGAAAATCAGCCTATCAGGGATTGCCACGTGGCATAAGACTCTGTCCAAAAAGAGTCTTACTTAACATCCGGATGACTCTTAGAATCCAACTATTCTGAATATAAAGCCTTAAACAATTGCTCTAAGCCCCGAGAACATATTGCGTTAAAGTTGCTCTTAGCCTAAAGGATACTTAATTCAGATTGTTTACTTAAACTGTTTAATTATATTGGACAGAATAAATTTTAAACTTTTATTATTTTAAAGTATTATAATTGATAAATTTAAATTTAAAATAAAAATAAAAAATAATTTTACTAATAAAGTTTAAACTATCATATAACGGGGTTATATGGTAGGACATATTATTATTTGTAATTTAATATATTACTATGCTTTATCCTCTGATAAACTAGATGACAATTTTTTTTACTTTTATATATAATTTTTTGATTTTATGTTATGTTATTAATTTTTTATTTTATTCATATATACTTTTTTCATCTTCAAAACATAAGTTTTTGTTTTTTTCCACTAAATCTATATTAGTGGAAGTTCTTAAAAATTAGGTTAGCCCTTAAGAATAAACTTATAAATTTTAAACATCAAAGTAAAATATATATGTGTGTGTGTGTGTGCTTGAGTAATTACACACTTACACTAATTGGTAGAGAAAAATGTTATATATCAAAATAAAATGTAAAAACAGTTGTCCCGTGGTGTTACATGAAAATTAACTTATTATAAATGTAAAATTATCACCAGACGGGGTTCTATGGTGGGATGGGTTTGAGCCGACATTCAAATTAATTTAAAATATATTAATCCGTTGATGCAATACATGTAAATAATTCCGTCTAATGATATATTTTACCCTTTTTTATAAAATTGACCCACATAGATCCCATAAAACATATTGCTAATTATTGCAAAACAACAAATATATATATAACTTTTAAGATCTATATTAAATTCCAGGAAAACTGAATTTTTTCCAAAATAAAATAATCTATTTATAATAAAAAAATCATAAAATTATATTTACATAAGTAAATTAAAAAAAGGTCCCGTGGTACAAATTCTAGTTTGATGTATTTTGGGGAGAAAATGCGCGTTCCGTATGTAATCCTCTGTATCATAACAACAAAGATTACGGTTTTGTTGTATCATAACAACAAAGACTAGGGGAAAAACGGGGAAAATCAACCCAAACTATTCCCCGAAGGCATTTTCATACCCAAACCCGCGTATTCTGAATTTTACAACCCAAACTAGCTTTCAATTCAAATAACCAACCTAAAATACATCAATTTTGGTCGATTTCAACCTCGACGTTAATAATATCTCTGCCCATCTTGAAGATTTGGACAATCAAGCTTAAACTTCTGTAAAAACCAAGAGAACTGGACTCGGGTTTTACAAAAGCTTAAGCTTGATTGTCCAAATCTTCAAGATGGGCAGGGATATTGTTAACGTCGAGGTTGAAATCGACCAAAATTGATATGGTTCAGGTTGGTTATTTGAATTGAAAGCTGGTTTGGGTTGTAAAATTCAGAGTACATGAATTTGGGTATGAAAATACCTTCGAGGAATAGTTTGGGTTGATTTTCTCCGTTTTCCCGTATTTACTAGTATAACTTTAGAAATTAGGCATTGAATCTGCTCAGACCTTGTTTTGGCTGCAGAAGATCTTTTTTTATAGAAAAGAGGATCAATTAAACTTTATTGAAGGAATCTTTGTCACCGACTTGAGTTTTACCCAAATGTTATAAGTTTTTGAAGATCAGTAAGTATCAAATAATACATTGTACAAATATGACTTTGATGACAAAGAGCAAACATACACACAACCAAAAAAAAATCGATCCAAGTCGTTGTGTAGATTACCGGCCAAACCTAAACATTATCATTTTTAATTAAATGGTGTTTTCATACTTTCAAATCACCAAAAATTATGTATTGGAACTAGTTTCGATTCATTGGAGTTTTTTTTTTAATATATATTTCAAAATCAATTATCCAAATAACCTTTTACGACTTGTATAGTTTTATTAACCTTTTTTTTCTTTCTATGATTGTATCTCATATGTATTTTTCAAAATTGGGAGCTTCTAGTGTTACAAAGCTAAACCTTACGTGTAGGCGTGTAGCTAAAACATGAACACGTAAGCACCAAACCTAAAATTCAACTAGATTGAAAATGGAGAGGTTAAACAAACTTTATTATATTCAAATCTCTCTACATAAATTTCCCACCAAACTCTATCTTTCTTCTTCCTCAAAACACTTATAAAGACCATAATCATCTCATCACAAACACAAACCAACAACAAACACTAGAAAAGCTAAAGAAGCAACACAAGAAGAAAAAAAGAAGGGCAAGAGTTCTCAAAGCAAACGCATACATGGCAGTTATGAAGCAGAGTCTCTCTACTGCTCTTCTCTCATCACCATTGTTGATCGTATGTCTTATTGCATTGCTCGCTGACCCGGTTTCAGTCGGAGCTCGAAGGTTATTGGAGGATCCTAAACTGGAGACACCAAAATTGCCTGAGCTACCCAAATTTGAAGTTCCCAAGTTTCCTGAGCTACCTAAACCAGAGATGCCTAAGTTACCAGAATTTCCAAAGCCTGAGCGACCAAAGATTCCGGAGATTCCAAAGCCTGAGTTGCCCAAGTTTCCAGAGATTCCAAAGCATGAACTGCCCAAGTTTCCAGAGATTCATATACCAGAGTTACCAAAGTTTCCAGAGACTTCTAAGCCTGAAGTGCCTAAGTTGATGGAGACTGAAAAGCCTGAAGCTCCCAAGGTGCCTGAGTTGCCAAAGATGCCGGAAGTTCCGAAGCTTGAGGCTCCTAAGTTGCCGGAGATTTCAAAGCCTGAGTTACCAAAGATACCAGAGATTCCAAAGCCTGAGTTACCTAAGATGCCAGAGATCCAAAAGCCTGAGGCTCCTAAGGTGCCAGAGATTCAGAAGCCAGAGTTGCCAAAGCTCCCAGAGATTCCAAAGCCTGAACTACCAAAGGTTCCAGAGATCCCAAAGCCTGAGCTACCAAAGATTCCAGAGATTCCAAAGCCTGAGCTACCAAAGGTTCCAGAGATCCCAAAACCTGAACTACCAAAGATTCCAGAGATCCCAAAGCCTGAACTACCAAAGTTTCCAGAGATCCCAAAGCCTGAGCTACCAAAGGTTCTAGAGAATCCGAAGCCTGAACTACCGAAGATGCCTGAACTTCCCAAGATGCCGGAATTTCCAAAAGTTCCCGGAACTTCTTAAAATCTTATTGTTCCAGAAGAAGGCCATGTCCAGCTACTACTACGTAGCCCCATCCCACGATCTTTAAAGTACCATTTCACTCCTTCTATATTTGTCTGTTTGCAGAGATGCATACTTCTGTCGGTCAATTCGTTAATGGTTTGGTCTCATAGTCATAGTTGTTTTTGCTTTTTCGGGTGAAGGTTTATACTAACACACTTATACTCTTATTATGTTGTTATATTTGTATTGTATGTTTCCATACATATTTTGTTGTATTTGATATACTTTTTTAATGGAATATCCTAATTTTAAAGACATGTTTCTATTCAAATACACAGCATGAAATTTCGAGAGAACTGAAGCATGAAATTGCATATTTCTTAATTCTTATAACTCATGTTCTCTACTGGACTTATGAAACTACTATTTATAAACCAATGTTTGGGACTCAAGTCTCCTATTTTTTTTTCTCTACACTTGTATGTTGTTACCTTTTTGTAGACTTGTATGTTGTTTCCTTATTTCCACTTGGGTATAAACTTTGCAATTGTAGTGACGTTTTTGGGGTTTTATACGTTCGAATGATTGCTCTTTAGTATCACATATCTCATGACTCATGTCCAAAAGACCAAAACATATGAAAACATAGAATACTTTTACAAAATTGAAGATAAGACAAATTATTTCCTCTGCTGATGTGCAAAGTATCATACGAAAAGCTTAGAGGTCGCCGGTTCGAGTAGCGATTGGGACGAGACCATATAACATGCTTTGGTCTCGGGGCTGAGGGGATGTATGGGCTTGTGAGAGAACCTCTTTGATTATTAAAAAAAGAAGTATCATAACAAAGCTAATTGGGATGCGCTCTTGTGCTCCTCGGTTGGTCTTTCTCTGTTAATGCTATGTTACTCTGCTCTGATACTTTGTTATGCCCAAAAACTTAGTATCTCTAATTAGGTTAATTTTTGGTAACGTGCTTTCATATGAGGGTTCTATATTCTATAATACGCAAAACGAAACACATGAACACGTAAACACTTGAACCTAAACTTCAACTAGATTGAAAGTGACAAATATAGGTATACTACTATGCAGATAGAAAGGTTAAACGAAATTTATATATATATATATATATATATTCAAAGCTCTGTTCTCTGTACATGTTTTTCTTTTTTTCTCACCAAACTCCATCTAGCTTCAATCCTCAAGACACTTTTTAAATAGCCATAACAATCAAAGACCAAAGCTCAACGAAGGAAAACATAGAACAACACCACAAAACAAAATAAGAAGATAAAATAAAATAAAATGCTTGTCAAGGACACAATTATGGCATTGAAGAAGAGTCTCTCAGCTTCTCTTCTTTCAACATTTCTGACCATATGTCGTATTGCATTGCTCTCTGTTCCTGATCAGTAAAAATCTATTTGCATAGATTCTCAAGAGGATTGACGAGGAAGCCTATGGCTTTGATCGAGAAATTGCGCAAAGCTGTATAAAAACTTTCTCTATAATTACATCTTTCTTGAACAGTAAGAGTCCAAATCTTTGATTCTACCATGCCCTCAGATTCATGCCTCTCTATACAATTTTATTGCAACCAAATGGCTTTATTAAAACACTAACAGATTTGTAACGCTCTCTGTTTGAGTAGAAAATTGAAGGTGAGAAGCCAGAAGCAGTGAGAACCCACCTAAGGAACATGGTCATTGTCTTGTCCCTGAAATGATTGGAAGCATCATCGGTGTCTACAATGGGAAGACTTTTAACCAAGTCGAGATCAAACCGGAGATGATTGGACATTACTTGGCTGAGTTATCAATCTCATATAAGCCGGTTAAGCACGGTAGGCCTGGTGTTGGTGCTACCAATTCCTCCCTCTCAAGTGAAAGATCAACTCTCTTATCACAGAGTCGTCAGTCTTATGCTCCAAGTTATTAGTGTCTTTCGTTTCTTATCCTTTCCAAGTTTTGTCTCTGCTTTTATGTTCTCTCCTTAAGATTTTGTGTTCAGGCGTTTTAATAATACAGAGCACTTTTTATTTGGACATTTCATAAACTTAGCTCTGTTTATTGATTATATTTAGTTGCATGCACCAATTCTTTTTGAATATATATATATCTGTGACTTTAATTTTGAGTAATCAAAATTATAAAAAATAACACAATGAACCTATTTACAAATAGAAGAAAACTCCATTAAAAAATGGGAAATTCATCAACTCTAGAAAGATACATAATTTCTTGGGATTTTAAGGTAATACAGCACAGAGTTTTGATATATATAACCAATTTTATCCTAAAATAATCTTCTTACATAAGATTTAAATAATTAAGATTTGATTTTAATAGGGAAACTTATCTATCCATAATATTTAAGGGAATATATAATAAATGACTATGGATTTGAAAAGAATTAGGTAAATGATGTTCGATGAATAGCGCATGTCAGAATGACACATTAAATTACCTTCGTCGCCTTAACCCCCTACGCACTCTACCAGGGGACACAAATTAATAGGCTATCATTGTTATTTTTGAATTTCAAATCTCACCTAGTACCGTTTATCGAAAATACAATGTGATATTAAATTAAAACATCAATTTTTTGTTTTTTTTTTAACTACGGATCTCGTACTATTTATTGGAAATAACATGTTATATACGAAAATAACATTGCTATATTTATATATATTTAGTCTAGCTTTGGTAGTGGCAGTTGACATTTACTACTTAATTTTTGGGGTAGGTAACGCTGCTGTTAATATCGCAATCTTGATGTACCACTCAACCAAATTCATTTAAAACCCACTGGGTCTTTGCTATCTCATCCAATCGCATGGTATTGAAACTAGTTACATGGAGTTTACCAAATTGAGATTCATTACATAAACAACCAAGGGAAAGCCCGCTGCAATGTATAGATTAGGGTACAATATTCTTAAACACAGATAATTGTGGTGTGTTATAGGTTTGGGTTGATTAATTTGGTTCGTTTGAGTAATTTTTAAGTAGGGTTGAGATTTTGGTATAAAACAACATTTAATTTACTAACCTATTTTATAATTTGGATTGGGTTGATTATTTTGGTTCGTTTGTGTAATTTCAAGATAGGTTCATAACATGCGGTCTTTAACATGCGGTTTTTAGTTTTATAACATGCGTTTGTGTATTTTATGACAAGATAGGTTCTACTTCGTTTGTGTATTTTAGTTTTATAACATGCGTTTTTTTACAAAAACAATAGTCATGATGACCTACACTTGCGTTTGTCTCTCGCCTATGGCCGTAGACTGCAAATTCCCGCCGCTTCTATAAGGTTAGTTTCGATTTTTCCTCACCTCTGAAAACGTTAGTTACCAAAATTTTATGCACCAACGTTATTTACTCAATTCTTTTTCGGTCCAACGTTATCTACCAATTACCCCTAATATTTAATTGTATATATATATATATATATATATATATATATCTTTTAAAGGTTTATATATCACATGTTGCCTATTGTTACTGAAAAAGTGGAAGTTTGTGTATTACAAGGGAAGAAAAATATTCATTCATATTATATTTTAGAAACTCAATAGTCTAATATTTTGGAATATTTATTGAAGTTTCCTTAAACAGAAACTTTGTAAATCTATAATGCATCTCTGTATAAATAAAGGTGCCAAGTATATGTTTCTTGTCGTATCTCCTCCATAGCAAAACCTAGCAGCAGTCACTTCCAAAGCTTCTCAAACAATGGTTAGTTTCTCGCTCTCCATCTCTATAAACCATAATTATTAGATTGTTAGGTTTTTACATCATCATGATCTTAAAGTTTTCTGTAGGTTGATCAAGTCGAATCAGATGTTCCCACAGCAAAAAAAAAGAGAATGTTCAAGAAGTTTTCCTTCAAAGGAGTCGATCTTGATGCTCTTCTCGACATGCCCACTAATGATCTTGTCGAGCTCTTCCCTTCCCGTATTCGAAGAAGGTTTCGATATTCTCACCCAAAATATTTGTCTCAGTTTTAGTAGATGATATGTATTTGGTTCTGAATGATTATTGTGAAAACGTATGGAGAGACACACAGACAGTTACGCTTGGAACGCGCCAAGCAAACGCTTTTTCCTTCGATCTTTATTAACAAAATTTATCTTTTCCTAGGATACAATTTTGTCTCGGCTCTTACTCAATCTATTCCTCCCAATAGAATTGAACCCGACTAAAGAACGAGCACTAAACCTTTCTCTCCTACACCCGTGTAGTCCCAAGAGAAAACAAACACTCACCTTCTCAGCTTTTTGTTTTTCTAGCTTCGAAGTTTACAATCACGTACAAAGAGTCTAAAGTGTTCAAAGTGGCTCGTGGCCAAACCCTAGACTATTTATACTCACTACTCAAAACCCTAACCCTAGGATCTTCGAGGATCTCACGGAAACGGAATATACTTGCTTGTCAAGCTTATCCTTTCCTTATTTGATGTGAAGAATATTCACCATATCTTCACACGCAATTCGTCTCTATCTTTGCTGCCAAGCAAGAAATCTTCCTTAGCACGTCACGCCATCCACTTAAGCTTTGCCACGTCATCTCACGACTCCATGTCAGCAACTTCAAGTGTCTGATGTGATCCCAGGCGTCTGATGTGGTCTCAGGCGTCTGAACAGATGCAGCTTCCTGATCTTCACAGCAAGCTGTTCTGGAACTGCATCTTCATATTGGTTTTGCTTGTGTTGATCATTTTGTAGGTTGAATAGAGGAATGACAAGGAAGCCAATGGCTCTCATCAAGAAATTGCGCAAAGTGGTAAAACTCTTAGTTTGCAAATTTAATATATTGTTAGCGTGTCACATTTTTTATTAATCGGTGATCTCCCGAACATTATAATTACTAATTAGTTAGGGTCTGATTTTTGGTTTAGTTCGATTATTATAACTACACTCTGCTTTACTCCAAACTAGAAACTAGAAGCACCAGCCGGTGAGAAGCCATAAGTAGTGAGAACACACCTAAGGAACATGGTGATTATGCCTGAAATGATTGGAAGCATCATCAGAGTGTACAACGGTAAAACTTTTAACCAAATTGAGATAAAACCGGAGATGATCGGACCTTACCTTGCGGAATTCTCAATCTCTTACAAACCGGTTAAGCACGATAGGCCTGGTCAGGGTGCTACACACTCCTCCAGGTTTATCCCTCTCAAGTGAAAACCATTACAAGACTTCAATTCATGTTGTTTCTACCATTTTGTTTTATTTTGCTTATCTAAATCTATCTTATAAAATTGTTCCTTTTGTCTTTAGACTTTTTTCTCTTATCCGTATTACTTTTCTTGGTGACTTTCTTTATAATAAGTTAACTAGAATTGGATCCGCGATACAGCGCGGAGAAAAGTTATCCGACTATTATTAACATGTTTTAATTTACTAATTGATACAAATGTATTTTAAGATTTGTTTTCTTTACAAATGTATCATTTTTATATTATGTTTTTTGCTATTTTTGTAACTAATTTTTGGAGGAATTTCAAAAATACCCCTTTTCAAATACCACTTTTTAAAACTACCCTAATTTCAAACTTTATCAAAATAACTACTACAAACAAACATAATTAAGAAGAAGAAAAAAAAAGTTAAAAAATTGAACTTTAGTTACTATCTAATTGTAGTTTTCTCAAAAGAAGAAGAAGTTACTATCTACTTGTAGTGGACCTTCAATAACTCTGAAGGTCGGAATAAACCAGTGCAAGGATGCAATCCAAAACTTGTCATTATCTTCCAGTTTCCCTCACGCAAATTGGTTTCAAACTTTTTGATATGATCTTTTCGGATCGAAGCTCCCATTTTGACACCCTATTCATAAGAGAAAATAAATTTTTTTAAAAGGTATATACGGTTGAAATAATGTACATGTATTTTTAAAAAATTAAAAAGACATACTTGTTCATCAACAAGAATCAATTCTATTGATTCACTAGCTTTAGCTGAGAACATTCTCCAACTATGGAGAATTTTGACTTGGATACACCATGAGTTCTTATATGGCTTGAGATCTTTGAGTGGTGTGAAAGAGAGGGGAAGAACCATAGACATTTTCTTAGTGAGAAACAATATTTTTGATGCGATGAGAATATGATTTAGAAGGGAAGGAAGGATTAAATTTATAGAGATGTTTATGGAGTTGAAAATATTTTGTTAACAATATAGATTGATATAGGAAATATAAAATCCCCAAAATTTGTTTATTTTAAGTCGTTATAAATTAGTTGCCATCATGGTTCTTAGAATATTCCCTAAATGTTCATTCGAGAATAGTTGTCTATAGAGAATGTAACTAAAATTTTTTAAAACCAACGTTATTAGCGGAAGAGATTTACGATACAATATCTTTGCTAATCTTTGATGCTAAAAAATTCCAAAATTGTTGGTATCGTCATAAAGTACACCATATATTTTAGGTAAGATAATCATCTCATTCGATACAGTTCATGTGAATCACGTTTAGTTTATATCTTTTGAGCGAACGGTAGTTATTAAATCTTTATGATTATCAATGGTGATTAAGTATTATAACCCGATTAATAGATCCGAAATTTTAAGTAGATTCGCGTGTTAATCAGTGTGAGCATTTTATTTTATTTCATTTGAAAACATTAGTCTAAATTGTATACTTCAGCTTTAATAGTATAAATATAAGTCTTCCCGATTTCTCCTACCCTAATCGTAATAATAATTGATTTTGTTTTTTTCCTCTATTTTGTTTTGTTTTGTTTATATTTTTTTTTCATTACCATCGTTTATCATCTAGTAGAAAAAGAAGAAAGAAAATAACACGAATTTTCCTGACGCGGAAAAAAAAAAAAACAGAACACGAATTTTCAAAGTTTTCCACAAGATTGTCTTCCATGAGATCGTAACCACGTCCCTGACTCCTCATCCTTCAGACAAATACTTTCTTTGCCTTCTTTAGTCTTCTTTCTTTCACATACTTGTCTGAAACAGAATTAAAAAGCTTTGTATTTTTCGGTCAAAACTGATTCAAATATACTGTACAGTCAAGTCAAAGCTACAAGATCTTGTTCCAGGTTTGGGTCTTTCCTCTCTCGCTTTAAATTCTTTTGGGTTTCTCTCTAAATCCGTTTTGATTCTGATTTTGCAATTATTCGTGTGTCCTTTGTTATATAGCGCTAAAGTTTTGATTTTGTTTTCTTGGGTTTGCTTAAAGACGTTTTTGATTCTTGAAATTGAGGTTTTGAGTCTCTTGCTTGGATCTTTGCTATAGTTTAGTTGGTATTGAGCTAAAAAGGGTTTCAAGAATTCAACTGAAAATGGAACCCTAAAGTTAAAAGCTTTCTAAAAAGCTGATTTTTTGTTTTTGCAGGTTTAGGGAAAAGCTTATTTGGGTTTTGTAAATGGCTTATTGAAGTTTGAGTCTTTGCTATTGAGTATTTTGTTAATAATAAAAAGCCAAATTATGGGTGGAGATGATTTGAGCTTCACAAGATTGGTGTTTACTACTTTGTTGTTGGGTTTGTTAATGTTATTGCAAACCAAGGATACCTCTGCATCAACTTCTTTTGTTGGCTCTAGTGTTTGTGGCTCTGATCATTTGACATACACTAAGCCTTATCAACAAGGGAGTTTGTTCACTATCAATGGGAATCCAGTGGACAAAGTCCGGTTTTGCGAAGCTTTGCGGTTTCATAAAGCCAAAGGTTGTATCTTTGAGGATTCTTCTAGTGTTGACATCTGCACAGTTCACCATCTACTAGGTAATGCTTCTTGGATCGGTTACACAATTTTATATATATAGTTTTGTTGGTAATTTGGTTATGTGTGTCATCATTAATCAGCTTCTGATTCTATGTAGGGAGAAGGTTTTTGGAAGAAAAACTTGTAAACGTTTCCAAAAGTAATGAGGCTGGATCTGAATATGGCCAAGTTAAAGTCAGCATGGCAGCAAGCGGGTTTCTACTCTTCTGTTGCGCGCTTTGTTGTCCTTGTTTCCATAAGGAGAGGAAAGCAAATAGTCATGAAGTTCTACCCAAGGAATCTAACTCAGGTGACTAAGTGTCTCACTCACTTTTAGTACAGTTTCAGTCCATTGGTGAGAATGTGCAGAGACCATGACTGGTTTCACTCAATTTTTCTATAGCAACTTCTAGTTTTGATAGAGTTGGTCTATGCCTTCTCCCTGACATCATTAAAAAGTTATGATTTTATTAAGGCACATAGTCATTGACGTAGGGAACAACAATTTTTTACGTTACTAGTGGTGTATATTGCATTATTAGACCCTAAAGATTACATTTTATGTTGAGAAGTATTTATCGTTCTTATGTAGATTTTTACATTTTGGAATAACATTTGACATTGAGGCTCGTATATTGTATCACAGTGCACCAACTTTCCTCTTTTGAAATGAGCCCTTCTTCTGAGAAGATCCCGTCAAGTCCATTCCGAGCACCACCAAGTCCATCCCGTGTACCGCAAAGCCCATCTAGATATGCTATGTCCCCGAGACCTAGTAGACTAGGACCCTTGAACCTGAACATGAGTCAGATTGCTACAGCAACCAACAATTTCTCTGAAAGTCATCAAATTGGTGAAGGAGGCTTTGGGGTAGTATATAAGGGCTATTTAGATGATGGCCAGGTGGTTGCCATTAAACGAGCAAAGAAGGTACTTTTATAGTTCTTTAATTTTCTCTTGGTATTTAATTTTTATTATAGTTTAGTCAGTCAAAGTCCTATAATGTTGACATAAGCTAATAATAGAACCTTTATATCGACCATAATTTTTTGGTAATATAGTTCCTGAGCTTTGGTCTTATTGTGTTGGGAAATCATGTTCTCACTCTAGTTATATGTGGTCTAGTCTTACTGAGTAATGGTGCTTTGTTACTTCGAGATTTGTAATCGAACTAATGGAATTATTATGGAGGAAACTAATAAAGCTATCAATTCTTGGTTTTTAAACTTGAAGATAAAAGTTCTAGCACTTGGTCTGTTGTACAGTAATTAGTAGGTTAAGATGAATATAATATCTCCATCTGCTCATTTGTACTATACACCTTAACTATTTTTCAGTTCTAAATTATAATTTTTCATGCAGGAACATTTCGAGAATCTGCGAACAGAATTCAAAAGTGAAGTTGACCTTTTGTCTAAAATAGGCCATCGAAATCTAGTGAAGCTTCTTGGCTATGTTGATAAAGGAGACGAGAAGCTTATCATAACTGAGTATGTCAGAAATGGTACACTCCGGGAACACTTGGATGGTAAGACACTTATTTACATCTTCCTGAGCTTGTTCTGGCTATAAAAACGTATAAGTAAACAATAAAGGCTCTTGTGTTATTGCAGGTACTAGTGGAACCAAACTTAATTTCAATCAAAGGTTGGAGATTGTGATCGATGTCTGCCATGGATTGACCTATCTCCATTCCTATGCAGGTGTGCTTCCTTGGTTATAAAACTATAAAATATTGTGAGGATCTTATTCAAGATTCTATGATTTTTTTTGTCTTTGAAACAGAAAGACAGATAATTCACCGTGACATAAAATCCTCGAACATTCTCCTTACGGATAGCTTGAGAGCTAAAGTGGCAGACTTCGGGTTTGCAAGAGGCGGTCCTACTGACTCGAACCAGACCCACATTTTAACCCAAGTGAAAGGAACAGTTGGTTATCTCGATCCCGAGTACATGAGGACTTATCAGCTCACTGCCAAAAGCGATGTTTACTCGTTCGGGATTTTGCTTGTAGAAATACTCACAGGTCGTCGCCCTGTAGAAGCCAAGCGACCTCATGACGAAAGGATTACCGTTCGATGGGTAAGCCATTTAATATTTCTTCTCAAAACTTGCATTCCTTACTAAACCGACTTTGCGGGGTAATTTCAAAATTCTTGCAGGCATTCGAGAAATACAATGAAGGAAAAGTGTTTGAACTGGTGGATCCAAACGCGAGGGAACGAGTTGACGAGAAGATACTAAGGAAGATGTTCAGTTTGGCATTTCAATGTGCTGCTCCTACGAAAAAAGAGCGGCCGGACATGGAAGCTGTTGGGAAGCAGCTTTGGGCTATAAGGTCTAGTTATCTTAGGCGCTCAATGGTATAAAGATGAAATAAATGCCTTTCACACGTCCAAAACAGAACTGCTAGACTCTCTTGTTAGATAATATTACTTCTTTTACAATTTGCCTTCATACCACTTTTTTTTTTCACTGTCTTTATTGCGAGAGTTTGTTGATTTGAAATGAGATGTCTGATTCATGATTGAGATTGTCTCACGAAGCATGAACAATTGTAGAACTCAGAGTTCTGAGTTAAAAGAAGTAAACTCTATGTGCATCAAAGGTGTGGGCAAAAATATAGTACTACCACCAAAACAGTCGAACTGAACCAAGGGCAAAATGTTAAAACTGAAACCGAACCAGCATTTATAAACCATTTGGTTTTATTATTCTAGAAAACAGAGGAATATATTGATTCTAGTATTTTAAGTGATTTGTGTTATAAATTGAATAAACATCCATGTTATTATCTATCATTATTGGATAATATGATTTATCTTTTATCTATGATACCTATGGATAAGGTGTTGTTCGTTTGGTGAGGTAGATGGGTTATCAAGATGCAGATCGTGGTATTTGAACGCACTATCTAAATAATGTTTGTTTGGTTTTTAGAGTATGTGTCCAAAAAATGTATTTGAATGTAGTTATGTTCGTTTTGTATTTTGGTATTTGTATCTCGATACAATACATGTCAAGTAAACTAAACCCCCTTTTTTTTGTGTTGAGCATGTTTTAGTAGTTTTAATTATGCTTACAGCTATATAATAATAATCTTAAATTTAAATAATTATCTAAACATAAAACCTTTTATAATATTAAAATGTACAACAAGACATATCCCTATATTAATTACAGAAGTGAAATGGGTCGGGTCAATTTACAAAATTACTTAAAGTTACTGGAAATTGATTACATGGATACTTAAATTTTTGGATTATAATTTGGGTATGGGTATAACCCATTTATTTGGGTATTATTTCTTCCAACAAAAAAATATTAGGTTTAAAATGTCCAAATAAAAATTATATGAGTATTTTTGAAAATTTTCCCGAATAAGAAATAGACAGAGCGAAATTTTGTTGTTTTTAACTCGGAAAAATCCCAATAAATACCTTATATATTTTTTTTATTTGGTCGTTTAATACCTAATGTTTTTTTGGTTGGAAGAATAATACTCAAAAAAAAAGGTAAAAGTGTGCAACTTATACCTAAAAGATAAATAATTGTTATTACATACATGCGTTCTCATAACAAACTAAAGATTCCAATTTTACACTTATTCATCCTAATTAATTATGAGTATATAAATATTTGAGTCAACTAAATCAATATTAATATTTTGTGAAAGAATTAAGAAAGAAGATACGAGTTTTGATACTTTGCAATATAAGAGAGGAGATGCCAACCTCATAATTTATGGACAAAAGTACCCTTATCGTTTGGTTGGGATAATGAGTTCTAGTTGGTCGCATATGTGTCAGACAAACACAGAGAAGTGGGTTTTCTCTAATAACTTCACTCTCCATGATCTCAACTTCCTCTAATAACTTCCTTAGATCCAATATAAAAATCAGTGTACTAGCATTCTTTTGCCCTAAGTGGGATTTTCCGAAAGACGCATGAAAATACATTGACAAGCCTGATGAAAGTGGGGGTTTTCTTGACATGGTACTCGAACAAACTCATCTTTCATGGTGATCAGATCTTAGGAGAAGCCAACAAGATCTTCGCAGGACTTCAAATTAACTTGGCTGCAAAGGTATTACGTATAACGTACTATAAAAATTAAGCATATATACATTTTGGAAAAATTCCCAAAAAATCTTGACATATTTAATATTTGTCGTTTATACGGGATAGACTGCATAGTCACATTAAAAGTTGGTCTGCCAAATTACTGTCAAAAGGTGGGAAAGAAGTGATGATTAAGTTGGTGGCATCTGCACTTCCAACTTACGTGATGTCATGTTTTCGCTTACCAAGAGCAATTACATCAAAGTTGACTAGTGCATTGGCGAAGTTTTGGTGGAGTACAAATGGGCCTGCATAAGGTATGCATTGGCGGGCGTGGGAAAATTTATGTTCAAGTAAGAAAATGGGAGGTTTAGGGTTTAGAGATGTCAATGATTTCAACATGGCGCTATTAGCAAAACAATAAAGGAGACTTATAGAGGCCCCAGATTCTCTTTGTTCAAAGGTTTTTAACGGTTGGTACTACCAGAATTCACACCCAATGGATCTGATAAAATCATACTCTCCATCTTATGGATGAAGAAGTATCACTTCCGCTAGATCTCTGGTTAGTAGAGGGCTTATTAAACAAGTTGTGTCGGGATTCTATTACTGTATGGATGGATCCCTGGATTCTTTCTCAATTCCCGAGACCAGCATTAAGTAATGGGTCGCTTATGGACCCGTCCCTACAAATACGACACTTGATTGATTGTCATACAAATTTTTGGCGTTTGGAGGTCCTAAATGAGCATTTTGCTTGGGAGGATGTCTTGCTGATTAATGCCATTCCACTTGGTAATTGTCCGATAGGGGATTTTTTGGATGGCATTTAACGAAAAATGGTAAGTACACGGTAAAGTCAGGTTATCATACTGCTCGTTTGGCAGATCCAAGACTCCCGGTCATTAGGGTCTGTGGACCAAATATTACACCATTACTAGCGAGGGTATAGAAAGTGCGTTGCCCACATAAAATACAACATTTTATGTGGCAATTGTTGACGAAATGTATCTCGGTTTTGGTTAATTTAAGCCAGAGGGGTATAAATTGTGATACTAAGTAGCCTGATGTGGCGCTGAAGCGGAGACGGTGAACCATTTCAATTTTGAATGCCCACCAGCGCGCCAGTCTTGGGCTTTAGCTAATATCCCAATAAGCTCTATATCCTTCCCAACATTGCATGTGTACGCAAATGTGGATTACATTTTGGGTCTAGTAGAAGATGGGGATACCTATGGTTTTTGTCCCTAGATCTTGTGTTATATTTGGAAGGCTAGGAATTTCAAAGTCTATGATAATGTAGATGAGAGCCCCTTGAATACAAGTAGGATTGTAAAGGATGAGTCAAGAATTTGGTACAACGCACAGGCACAGAGCCTTTGGCACCAAATTCTGGGATACAAGGTCGCATAGGTAGGTTACCTACTCTGTCTATGGGTTATCGATGTTTCATAGATGGTTTTTGGAAGGACACAAATATGTATACGGGTTTAGTTGGTTCTGTCAGCACGCTCGAGACTCTTCGACGATGATGGGAGCTTTAAATCTTCACCGAAGCCTTTCTCCCCTCCATTCAGAAGTAGAAGCTCTGGTGTGGGCGATGCGATGCATGATTGGTCATGAACACAAAGATGTAGTGTTTTTTACCGACTGTTCAGATTTGGTGAAGATGGTATCTTCTCCTGCCGAGTGGCCAGCGTTCTTTGTTTACCTGGATGATATCAACATTGATAGGGAAGAATTTTTAACATTTTCTTTATTCTTATCCCAAGGAATTTGAATGTAAAAGTTGTTACTTTGGCACGCAAAGCTCGTACCAATCCGCATCCAGTGAAGTCTGTAAACGATTGTCCCCCCAATTGGCTTGTTTTAGCTAATTCTTCGTATTGTTGACAAAAAACTATATTTTTTTCATAAAAAAATACGCAAACTAATTTATAGATGATAAAAAATATACGAACTTTCCCAATTTTCTAGTTCCCCACATATCATGGTCACGATTTTCAACGAAACTAACACAATATCTCGTAAGCAATGGTTGCCCATTTTTTGTTCTTTCGAAGGGCATCTCCACCGTATTTTAGAGTCAAAACTCTATTTTAAAGTAACATTTGCTCCAACCATACTCTATATGTTGCTCCATTAAAACCAAAAGGAAATTAAAATTAAACCGTATCTAGAATCCTCCATTAACATTTTCTCTAAGTTAACTTGTCTAGCAATGTAATTAGTGAATGAGTCTAACCTAAGTATATATATCAATGACGTAGGTTGGGGGAATTCACTGGTTGTACAAACACAACAGCCACGCGGCGGAGCTGACTGCCGAATATTACAAGTTACCGGCCCATCACTAGGATGATCTCAAAGGACTATGGCATGCTCAACTTCGCTTGCCTTGAGATGAAAGATACCAACAATGCCGATGAAGCCTTAAGTGCTCCCCAAGAACTTGTTCAAGATGTAAATAACAAGAAGAAAATCTATTAGTTCATTCATTAAATCAAGTCTTTTAAATTTGATTTTTTCGGTAAATCGTTGATTTAGGTACTAAGCAAAGCATGGAAAGAAGGCATAGAAACCGAAGTTAAAAATGTATGGATTGACATACATACGGTTGTCCGATACGCTCTTTCAAGATGATAAGTTAAAGCTGTTCAAGACGTTTGTGAAGAAAATACACGTTGATCAAGTAAGCACATATACATACATAAATGTCTTATTGAAACTTTTTTCTTTTTTCTTACAAAGCCTTATATGTGGAGATGCGGGGAAGTATGGACAAGAGATTGTGCCATCAACCTCAGCCAAGTGAAGACGATGAGTGGAACTCTGAAACTGACATGAAGGTTGATGGTTGATCGATCCTCCCATCGTCAACACACATATTAAAAGGTTTTTGCAACTTCTATTGCAAAAATTTATATGTTACTACTAGGATTTAACCCGTGGTACACCACGGGTCCATAGTTTAATATATTTCTTTGGTTGATCATTTTCGTATTTGGTTTATATAGTTTAGTTTTATACATGTTTATTTCATTTAATTTAATATAATTTCATTAATTTGTATTATAAGTAGATTCATAGATATATGTGCTAAACCGACGGTACATCACCAGACGATTTTGTTGTAAATAAAAAAAATATATTTTAACTTAACCCGTAAAATATTTTAAATATAGACAATCCGCAGAAAAATATATCATATTTATGTAAATTCAAACCCGTTCAATCATATTTATGTACAATATTATTATATTTTAAATATTTGTAGAACTAAAATATTAATAATACTATTAATTTTTGTAGAATTTAAATATTTTCATTATTTTAATATTCTATAAAACTTAAATAAAATATCATAATTTTCAGCTTTTAAAAGTTTTAATATTTATCCTATTTTAAACTTGTTAAAAAAATTAAAATTTATAATATTTTGAAACTTTTTTAAAATATTATTTTTCTTAAATAAAGAACCGTATTAAACTAATAAATTTTTTAATTTGGATACTTGAGAAATCAAAGTTCATGCTCATTTGTAGTTGTAAACATATTAGTCTTATTTATAAAGGTTTTGAACTATTATCTAAAATTTCCTATCTTATGTAGACGTTGTACATATATTTTTCCTTTATTGATTGAGTTAAATACGTCCGTTTTCAAAATTTTAAATTGCAAAATGTGTGGAAAAAAGTTTTTATTTTTATTATAAATATGTTTTATGCAATAATATAAATTTAAAACAAATAAGAGTATATAAATATATTGAACAGATATTCAGTTTATTAGAGAGAGATTTTAGGAAATTTTTTGATCTAATAAATATTTGTTTCCAATTTTGCGATTTGCTTATGATTTAATTACAAAATTTACTTTTAAGTTTTTTTATTTATTCAAATGGCAAGGGTTTGATTTTGTAAATATTAAAAAATAAAAGGTCATAAGCCAAAATAGATTTTTTTACAAAATGTACTTCAAAAATGTTAAGATAGATACTACATAAAGGGCTTTTTTTGTGTGTCATGTGACTCTTGTACCTCTCTGGTTGAATAAGTTTGTGTAAATAACTTGTCCAGAAAAATACCCAATTATCTTTGATGAGATTAAGATGGGATGAAAACAATATAAAGTCAGCCATTTACTTTTTTTTTGGGCTGTAGGCATAGTAATTTTTTTGTTTTAATTTTTAAAAACTTTGAAGTAATACACAATTTCATAATTTCAAGTACACAGAAATAAAATCTCTTACTCTCCCATTTCTATTTTATTATTCATTTTTAATTTTTGTAAAAGAGTAAACTAAAAAGAAAATCAATTCAAATATTTTATCTGTTTAGAATCTATATTAACATTTTTGAAGTATCTTTTGTGTTCTACCCTTTTATTTTGTAATATTTGCATAATTAATCCCTTGCTATTTGATTAAATAGAGACAGTTTAAGATAAATTTTGTAATTAAATCATAATAAATTTGCAAAATTAGTTACATTTAACAAAATTTCCTAAAATATCTCCCTCATAAATCAAAAATTTCTCCAACATCTTTATATGATCTTATTTGTTTTTATATTTATATTATTACATAAACATATGTATAATAAAAATATAATTTTTTTTTGCATATGTTGCAATTTGAATTTTTAGAAACGGATGTATATTACTCAAACGATACAAAATGTATGTACTAAAATATTATTGATAATTGTGTAGCACGGGTAATGTGATGGAACGGGTTATAATTTACATAATTATGATTATAGATATTTTTACGGGTTGTCTACTATAGTATAACTCACAAAAATATTTTAATATGAAATTATATTATGTAAACGAATATTATGTCAGTATCATTTCATTATTTTAAATATTATACTTATTTAATTAATTTAATCAAATTATGATTATATAAAAAATAAATTATCATATAATATTGTACGGGTTAAAACATAAAATTTACAATCAAAATATAGTAGTATACTCTTATATACCAAACAAAAATAATAAAAATAATACATTTTAAAATGTCGTCCCGCGGTGTATCGCGGGTTAAAATCTAGTACTTTTATTCATTAACTAAAAATCCAAAAAAAAATAGAACACTTTATACAAACGAACTGAACACCCTTAATATCAAGATTATAAAAATTACAAAAAAAAAAATCTTTACCACCAATTAAATTTTACAAACAAATACTTTAAAGATCATATATCACAAAATATAAATACTTAGTTATAAATAATTCTATTAATTATAACTAAATTAAAAAGCTTTTGAAGTACAAACCAATCATCCTCAAATCTAACATAACCAGAAAAAAAAAATCAGTTTACAATGTCACAAACAAAACAAAAAAGACCAACAACATCCATGTGATTAAAAAAATGTACAAATAAAAAGTCAAGTTGTTTTAAAATACTTTTAAGATAAAACGAAAGATCCGAATCTTCATTCCCAAAGATTCCAAAACCAAAAGACAGATCCAACGGCTCATACCTGCCTTTATACCCTCGTTACTCTACCACTACATTAAACCCCACAACAAAGACACGAAATATAAATTACACAAGCAAAACTATAGGAACAGAAACTAAAATAAAAAAAGAATCATTCCAGCATCATTCCTCACAAATTTTAATAACCAATTATTTAAAAACCATCAACTTGGTCTCCCATTTTTTTTCGCTTCAAAAATTTTGTTCTTAAAACCCCAAAACATCACACCAACCAGCCACAACACAACCATCGTTCTTGTTCTTCTTATTACAAAACCAAACACTCATCATGATGCAAGTGGCTTCTCCTCGTACACGGTCGGATTCACTCACTGAGAAGGTGTTCAGACGAGTCTACAGCAATTTTAACATCTCCACGGTCGAAGATGACTACATAGTACATAGTCGTAGATCAAGTGATTACGAGAAAGAGAGACTAAGAAAGAAAGGGTTTGAAGATAAAGAAGAGGTTATGGAGATGGAGCAGATGGGAGCAGAGAGGATCAAAACTGTTCTTATTCTCATGAGTGATACAGGTGGTGGCCACCGTGCCTCCGCCGAGGCCATCCGTGACGCTTTCAAGATCGAGTTCGGAGATGATTACCGGGTAAAAATATTTTAATTTTTATTTGTCATTTACATAATAATCTTTGCCTTGAATCCAACGCATAGGGTAGAGCCAATAACATGCTTCCTATAACATATAACTTACGAAAAATGATTATGTAAGCTACAAAACACAGGCTTACATAGTAACATGTCTCTTTTAGTTTTGGTTTAAAGGAACCAAAGAAACCAAATGCTAATATGTCAATTGGTAAAGATTTCTGGCAAAAGTTAGAGGTCGTCGGTTGGGACGAAACCATATAACATGTTTTGGTTTCGGATCTAAGAAGATGTATGGGCTTCGGCCCATAATTTCTTTGATTATTCAAAAGAAAAAAAAAACCCAAAACAAAAAAAAAACATTTTGAAGTGTTCAATTAGAAAATTTCAAAGCTGGTAAATATATACATCGAATTCGAATATGACATATTTTGTTCCAATAGATTATGCTAAAATATAACAAAAAAAAAAGGCTAGATGAATCTCAGCCGCCAATATTAGAGCTGTCGTCTTGATTTTGAAAAGACATATCTACTTGGAAGTTTTGTAGCCTAGTATGGATCTTGGAGTTTGCCAGGGTGTCGGAGATACGTTATGATGTCAGCATTTTATGTCTTAAAATCTGTCCCACGTTAGTTTTTTTGTTTGTCAAAATTTGAGCTGGGATAATGAAATCGAACCGAACCGAGATTTTGGGTATTCGGTTCAGTTTTGGTTATTGGTCACTAACTGATCAGCAATATGTGAGGTTAGTTCGGTCAACCGAAAATTTCAATTAGTTTTGTTCGGTTCTCGGTGGATCGATCTTTTTTAAGAACCAGATTATATCGGTTATACAATAAATTAGACTAATTTTGGTTAATAACCGGATTAATCAAGGAACCGAATTAACAGAATTACCCAAAATTATTTCAAAATAAATGAAAAAATCGAATTTTCAGGGAAAAAAAAAACTTCGGTTAGTTTTGGTTTATCAATCTCAAAACCGAACTTAATTTGTTTTGATTAATTTTGGCAAGATTTTCAAAACTCAAAAAACCGAACTAACCGAACCGAATAAACAAAAGAAACCGAAATCCCAGTAGTTAAAAAAATTTGCATTATTATTATTTTCTCTAGCTTTGACTATTTTATCTCTAGCTTTGACTCTGATATTAAAATAGTTTTTTGTTTGCATTTACAGATAATCATAAAAGATGTTTGGAAAGAATACACTGGCTGGCCATTGAACGACATGGAGAGACAGTACAAGTTCATGGTGAAACATGTTGGTCTTTGGTCAGTGGCGTTTCATGGTACCTCTCCCAAATGGATCCACAAAAGTTATCTCAGTGCTCTTGCTGCTTATTATGCCAAGTACTTATATGTTAACCTTCTTCTTAAGTTTTGTTTCTTAATTATGATCCTTTAATTTGTGTCACCAATTAGCAATATAATGGAGACTATTCTTCTTTTGGTTGAACAGAGAAATAGAGACCGGTTTAATGGAGTACAAACCGGACATTATTATTAGCGTACATCCTTTGATGCAACATATCCCATTGTGGGTAATGAAACGGCAAGAACTTCAAAAGAAAGTCATTTTTGTGACGGTCATCACTGATCTAAATACTTGTCACCGTACATGGTAAGGATGTTTGATACTTATAAGTTATATACAAAGTCTTTGTATAAGTACCTAAACAGTTTAATGCACTCGTTAACATGTTACTTGTTCATAAGAATCCTATTATGTTTCCACGGATGACTATAGATGATTAACATATTTGAAATTAACCAAATGATGTAATAGGTTCCATCATGGAGTCAGTAGGTGTTATTGTCCGTCCAAAGAGGTCGCAAAGAGAGCATTAGTAGACGGCCTTGATGACTCTCAAATCCGTGTCTTTGGCTTACCCGTCCGCCCATCTTTCCCTCGCACTATTATCAACAAGGTAACCATTCAAAACATTTCGAGATTTTTGTTTTGGTCCCGGAAGATCAATATTGTGTGTTTTGTCAGGATGAACTAAGGAGAGAGCTTGAAATAGACTTACCTTTACCCGCGGTTCTATTAATGGGAGGCGGTGAAGGAATGGGTCCGGTTCAGAAAACTGCTAAAGCCCTTGGAGATTCTTTATACAACTCTAAAGAAAGAAAGCCAATTGGACAATTGATTGTCATATGCGGCCGGAACAAAGTTCTTGCTTCTACTTTAGCATCCCATGAATGGAAGATTCCCTTCAAGGTACACATTAAAATGTGATTTTTTCACTACATAGTAATGTATATTTATAACCACTAGCTTATATTAGTAATATGTATTCGTGATGTTTATAGGTTCGTGGGTTTGAAACACAAATGGAAAAATGGATGGGAGCTTGTGATTGTATCATCACCAAGGTAAGTCATATCTTTGAAGTCTCTATACTTCATGCTACTACTTATACTTGATTTCAAAATCCATAAGTTTAACAAGTGTTTATGACATCAAACAGGCCGGTCCAGGTACTATCGCGGAAGCATTAATATGCGGTCTCCCAATTATCCTCAATGATTACATTCCTGGACAGGTACAAATTCACTTCTTTTTTTTTTTTTGCTTCACCTTTGGGATTGATCGGCCATTATCAATCCATAAACTAACTCTTGCGAATGTTACTCTTAAAGGAAAAAGGCAATGTACCGTATGTTGTGGATAACGGTGCTGGAGTTTTTACCCGAAGTCCCAAAGAAACTGCAAGAATTGTGGCCGATTGGTTCAGCAGCAATAAAGATGAATTAAAAAGTATGTCGGAGAATGCTCTTAAGTTGGCACAACCTGAGGCCGTGTTCGACATCGTCAAGGATATCCATCATCTATCTGAGCAACAACAGCAACGCATTCCAGTCTTTAGTGATTTTTCCTACTAACTACTTCTTTCTTAGCCTATAGGTTTTCCTCGTTTCTCAATATTGTATATACTTTCTAGTGCTTTATCATTCTTTGATTGTTCATTTTTAACATTCATATATGTTTGTCCATCACATTTGCTATTGCTTGTTATGTGCTTTAATGGATTTATGTTTTGAATATTTGGTCTAGTACTAGGATACTTTAATATTTTTCTCTCTAGTTATTTGGTTTTGATTACTAAAGTAAAGAACATTGCGTCGAATATCCTATAATTTTAAAAGTTGTGGATCATTTACATGTGCGTTGTTATTTAACAAGATATTTGAGGGGATATATGAAAGAAAAATTTACTTAGATAGAGCACAATAGTAGGTTTATTCCTTAAAAAGACACATTTTTTTTTATTCCTTAGATGTTTAGAGAGATGGGTGTAATTACAATAAACACCCTTGGTCTGTTTTCACTTAAAAATTCCACGTCATATCCGACAAGCCACGTCATACCCGAAATGGCCACATCATACTCGAAATTGCCACATCATCATCGACATTTATTCTCTTATTAATGATCAAAAAGAAAACTGAACAGTTTCTTTCGTCACTGTTTACAATCGAAAACAAAAAAAATTTCTTTCTCACTCGCGTTCGAAGGAAAAGAAAATCGCCGACGAACACAGTTTTCGCCGCCGAACACAGTTACGCTCTCTCTCTCTTTCGCTCTAAAAACCAGTCGTCGTGAGTCGCCGTGATTCGCCGGGAGTCATCGTTTTCGTTACTACATTTGAGACCTTTCGTATTCCGGTAAGTGTCGAACTGTATTTCGAGTTTTTCTGACTATAATCATGTTTGTTTTTGCTTGTTACGGCTGATTGTCGCCGTCGTATGGTATGGTTGGTCATGTCACAAACCTAGGTTTTCTTTTTGACTATAGATACATTTGGTCCCGATCCTACTAAAGAAAGAACAACCTGATAACCTAGGTTTGAAATATTAAAAATACATCGCATCATTATAAATAATAATTTTCCAGAGTATTAAGTATTTAATCTTTCTTGTTAAAATAATTCTAATATAATAAATGAAAAATAAAAGATTTAGAAAACTACTTTGCAAATAAAATATTTCAACTCTTATATAGAGGAAAAATTAGAGTTCCTCTATATATGGAGAAAAAATAGCAATCTATATTATATATATATAATTAGAGGTGGGTTGGAACAAAATTGGAGCAAAATTTACTTTAAAGTAGAGTTTAGAAGCAAAAATAGAAGTGAGTTGGAGATTCTCTAAGACGACTAATTGAAAAAGGAATAACATCACAAATTCCTTGAAATGATCAAACATGAATAGAATCAAAAAGCCGATAAACTAAAAAAAAAAATCATATTATTTAATACTTTTCTTGCATCACTTAGCCTCCTTCTCCTTCTTTTTCTCATTATTTATTTTCTTATTCTTCTCTTATATGACCTTCCTCTCACACAAATCTTAGTTTTTTTTTTCTCAATTTGCCAATTCTTACATGTAATCTAAGTAGTATTACTACTTTTTTTGCATACGCAAATTTTCTTTTAAGTCATACCTAAAACTGGACAACGCCAACTAAATTAGGTTAATTTTCGTGCTGAGCATAATCTAAAATAGCACGTGTCGAAAAACAAATATTTGTACGATTTGGTTAATTGAAATGATTTACATCAAATTTGTTTATCATATAAGCATTAATCTCTACCATGTATCAACAAACTTCATATTTTACTCTCTCTCGTGAAAGTGAATGTGCAGTTTTCTTTGTTGAGTAGAATCAAAAAGCTACTACGCGGATTAAATTCTAGTCTACTATAGTATTTTTGCAAAAAAAAAAATCTATAGCCCACATTTATTATAACACTCTCATAATTTATTGTTAAAGCCATTTTACCTAAAATATTCATTAATATATATTTAACTCTTGATTCTATTTAATTAAAAAATTAATTAAAAACTAATCAAGGTAATTTTTTTATAAATTTAAAAATTGGTTTCACTTACATCTTTCTTTTTTTTAATCATCGTATAATATATACAATCAATAAAATTCTATGAAATCAATAAAATTTTAAAATAAAATAGATATGTTATATTGCATGAAGGATTGTATGATGAGATGGTTTGGATCGATATTACTAAAATATCATTAATTTGATTTTTAAACACTAGTGAAATTCTCATTTTATTATATTTAACTATACCAAAAAAAATATGTCGAATAAACCAATTGAGTTAAGATTGATTTATACAATTTTTTTTTTTTTTTTTTTTGTCAACAACAATAAAAGTGACTCAAAAGAGCCAAGCGGAAGGAACATTGTTTACATACAAACAGCTAAGCGGCTCAACACGTACTCGACGTGCTAACGCATCCGCTTTAAGATTAGAACGACGAGAAACTTTGACAAGACCAAAAGAAGAAAACACTTCCCTATCTGCGATAATTTCCTCTAAATATGTGACAAACGCCGGCCATTCTGTTGGGGAAGACACCATCTCCACCAGATCTGAACAGTCTGTAATGAAAGTCACTTCACGTCTCCCTGCTTCAATCATACACTTCATAGCCCACACTAATGCTTCGACTTCGGTATGTAGTGGCGATAGACTCCTTCGAAAGTTAGCTGCACCCATTGTTGGTTCGCCATTTGTGGCTGTGCAATACCACCCTAAACCTGCAAAAATATCACCCTCTTTCCAGGACCCATCCACAAATCATGTGAAACCTGGATATCTAATGCTAGAAGGGTCGTTAATTTGGTATAACCCCCGAGGTACCCCAGAGCCAGTGTCAAAAGCTCCCTCCATCTGTGCATCAAACCATGATTGTGCCTCACACTCCGCCAATCGTAGGACCTCTCTTGGATCCCTATCTATATTGTCAAATACCTTTTCATTCCGTGCTTTCCAAATGTACCACATTATCCAAGGATACATTGAAACATCTAAATCCTTGGGTGTCCTCCAAAACAAATGATCCATATTAGCAAACAGAGACTCTGTTGGGAATACCCCAGGTGCAGTGGGAACTTGAGATAAAGCCCATGTTTGCAATGCCGGTGGACATTGAAAAACTGCATGCAGAGTAGATTCTACTTCGCCACATCTACTACAAAGCGGATCACAGTTCAGCCCTCTTCTTGCCAGATTATTATTAACCGATATACATCCTCTAAGTACTTGCCATAAGAAATGACGTAACTTGGGGGGACACTTGACCTTCCACACATGAGCTTGCAATTGATTAGTATCTGGGCCATATACATTACAAGTCCGTCTTGTATCCCGTGATACCATATATCCTGATTTCACCGAATATTTACCGGATTTTGTAAAATGCCAAAACCTGTAATCCTTCCCTTGCGGGAACCGAATCGGGATAGCACTAATAATAGGGACATCCTCTGGGTCGAAGAGAGCTTGTAGCAGCTGCACCTTCCATGAGCCTGTATGCGTATCAATCAATTGATTAACAGATAGATTTGTAAGCGGTTCAGCAAGTGAACTGTTTCGGGTAGCTGGCCTCGGGTATTGAGCTGGTAGCCAAGGGTCATTCCATACTGAAATAGATTCCCCCGTCCCAACTCCTTTAATAAGTCCTTTGCTAACCAGAGGGCGAGCAGAAATAATACTCCTCCAACCATAAGACGGGGAGTATGATTTGATCAGACCCAGTGGGTCTGATTTCCTATAATACCTTCCTTTAAACACTTGAGCAAACAAACAATCTGGAACATTTATCAGTCTCCAGAGTTGCTTTGCTAATAAAGCCGAGTTGAAATCCTCCACATGTCGAAAACCCAATCCTCCTGATGCTTTGTTTTGACAAAGTTTGTCCCAAGCTAACCAGTGCATCCCCCCATTTTGACCATTTGAACTCCACCAGAATTTAGCAATCGCACTTGTAAGCTTATTGGTCACCGTTTTTGGTAATCGAAAACATGACATCACATACGTAGGTAACGCTGTCGCCACTGATTTTATCATGACCTCTTTACCCCCTTTGGACAGAAACTTCGCCGACCAACCATTTATTCTTGATTGAAGCCGATCCTGAACAAAGGAAAAAACTCTAGTTTTTGCCCCTCCTAAACTTTCCGGTAACCCCAAATACGAACCCATACCGCCCAAAGTTGTAATACCAAGCACTGCCATTAGTTCTGTGCGTACATTATTCTCCACTAGATGACCAAATTGTATTGACGATTTCGTGAAATTGATTTGTTGACCCGAGACTTTTTCGTACTGCTTAAGAATACCAAGGATAACCTCACACTGCTCTTTCTTTGCTTGACAGAAGAAAAGACTGTCATCCGCAAAAAGTAAATGAGAAATCGCAGGGCTAGCCCTTGCAACCTTGATTCCGGTTATAAGTTTAGCGGCCTCCGCTCGCCTAATATTGGCGATTAATACCTCTGTACATAAGATGAAAAGATAAGGCGATAATGGATCCCCTTGGCGTAGCCCCCTATCCGGGATAATTAAACCTCGTGGTTGGCCGTTTAGTAAGACACGATATTGTACCGAAGTGATGCAGCACATCATCCAGGCAATCCACTTCTCACAAAATCCCATTTTCTCCATCACCTTTGCTATAAAGGGCCATTCTAACCGATCATACGCTTTACTCATATCCGTTTTAATTGCCATATATTTCCCTTTACATGATGGATTTGTCCGAAGTCCATGAAACATTTCTTGGGCTATTAAAATATTATCCGATATTAACCGTCCCTCCACAAAGGCGGATTGTGTCTCGGAGATCAAGACCGGGAGTACCCTTTTTAACCGCTGGCAGAGAACCTTAGAAATAATTTTATAACCAACGTTACACAAGTTTATAGGCCTTAAATCCGACATTTTTGTCGGTCTCTCCGTCTTAGGAATAAGACATATATTTGTGGTATTTAACCTATTATCAAAAGAATCATTTTGAAAGAAAGAGTTCACTAATAGTACCAGGTCATCCTTGATTATCTCCCATGATTTTTGGTAAAACAAAGCCGTCATTCCATCCGGCCCCGGGGCCTTTTCCGGATGCATAAGAAACAATGCGGTACGAATCTCTTGTTCCGTGGCTTCCCTCGTTAACCGAACATTAATATCCTCCGTAATCGACAAACGAATGTCTTGTAACGCCTCCTCAAAATCCATCGGGTTAGTCGAAGTAAATAAATCTGTAAAATACAAAACCGCAACCTCTTGGATACCGGTATCCTCCGTAATCCACATTCCTGCTTCATTAAATAGGCCGACAATTCTGTTCCTAGCTTGCCTCTGTTTTGTTTGTGCATGAAAGAATTTTGTATTTTGATCCCCTACTCTCATCCAAAGGCTGCGACTTTTTTGGTGCCAGTATTCCTCTTCATCCTGGTATGCCGCACGTAACCGTAAAGTTAATTCTTTAATTTCTTCTGGTGATTTTGTGTCATCCTTTTGAGCCTCTGCCAACTCTAATTTAATGTCCTCAATTGATTTCCGCTCATCTTCCGACATTTCCTTACGCCACCGAGATATTGACCTCCGACAATTCGTAATCTTACCCATGAAATCTTCATTATCTGAAACTCCACCACTAGTCCAACCCTGATTTATGGCCTCCATCAGGCCCTCTTTCCCGACCCATCTTTTATCAAATTTAAAGCTCCTCCGCCCTCGAGGCAGTTTATCTAACAAAGTAACTAGAACCGGTTTATGATCCGATGCTATCATGGGTAAATATTCCACAAAAGATTGGCAAAAAACTTCATGCCAGTCTTCATTTCCAAAAGCCCTGTCTAGCCTGCACCGGATTGGTTTCTTATCTCGCCATCCCCACCACGAAAGAGCATCGCCTATAAATGGGAATTCAAGAAGCCCACAATCCTGTATCATCTGATTAAAAGATAAGAACGAGGATGCATGTCTTAAAACCCCGCCTTTCTTTTCATGATTACCGCGTAATTCATTAAAATCCCCTAAAAGGAACCATGGTGTATCCCGCACTATCCCCAATCGTGTTATCCTTTCCCATACTTGATCTCTATTTTTAGGAACCGGGTCCCCATAAACAAAAGTTAAGTGAATTGTTTTACCTTTAAAACTTGTTTCCAAATCAATTAACCGATTACTCATATAAAGAACCGAAACATTAATATCATTATTATAAAATAAGGCTAAACCGCCACTACAACAAATAGGATCGACCGTAATTAAATTTTTGTAACCAAAATGACATTTAAATTTTTCCAAAAAAGAATTTGATTGTTTTGTTTCAGCCAAAAACAAAAAATCAGGCCTATGTTTCTTCCATAAATCCCTTAGGTACCCAATTGTCGCCTTATTACCCAATCCTTGAACATTCCAACTTAAAACCTTCATTTAGTAGCAGCATGTTTTGGTGGCTTAATCCCACCGTTTGCCCCTTTGTCCCCATCCTGAGCCTTGGAGCTGCCCTCGCCTTCAGCGTTGTCGTCACTTTTTGGAGCTGGACGTTTGCGAGGAGAGACCAACATTTGAGCTAGGCGCTTCTTCGAGCTAACACCTTTGAGAGTTACTCCTTTAGCCTTCTTGGTCTTATCTCCACCCATCACCTCTTTACCAATACCCTTTAACTTCCCTTGAGCCTGAGGTTCGAGTTGCAGCTCCGCACTTGCAATCGAATCCCCCAAATTACCGAGAGAACCCACAGACTCCACAACCTCAGTAGCAAGCGACGCCAACACCATCGTAGCTTCCGCAATGAACTCCGACATTTCCAACTCTGATTGAGTGATTGGATGATCATCATCCCTACCCTCATCTCCCTCCCCAGCACCTTCAGAACCTTCCATGGCAATAACCTCCTCCGCGACATTAAGCTCCTCCTCAGCTACTAAAGATACTGCTTCTAGCTCCTCCAGGATTACATCCGTCAATAAATCCTCGTTTGCTTGCAACTGCGCTGCTGCTTCTACTGGAACCTCAACAAGTGCGGGCATTGGATCTGCCATCGCTTCCTCCGGAATCACAACTGCCGCAGTATCTCCCTCATCCTCCTGAAACAAAGCTTTCTGAACCGGTTTACGAGTTATAATCAACTCTACACCCTCTTGCACCCCATTGTTGGCCCTTAGTTGAGCTAAAGCCTCAGCTTCCGCTTCATCCGCTTGCCTGCGTTCATTATATTGAACATAGCTATGGTATCGGCGAGGACGACGGACCGGTTCCCCATGTGGATGTTCAGACCGAGATCTCTGACCCATCACCTTGTCCTTTTGTACCCCTTTGGATGAACCCGCTGCTTCCTTGCTCCATTTCTTATCATTTACTACCGCCCCTTTGAAACTTTGAAATTTTCTATCCCCTGTTACCAAACCATTCCCATCATCACGACCACTGCCCGACTCATGCTCCACCAGACCGCAGTGAGACTCATCATGGCAGAGACTGAAGCAGACTCGGCAATAGCCAAAAAGTCTTTCATACCGCAGTGAAACCCTAGCCACCTCTCCATTGTCAAACTCGACCTCTGTTTCAAAACAAAGAGGTCTCAAACCATCAATCGTAACTTGAATCCGACCCAAATCAATATCCACCTTATGAACCAAGCCAATACCATCACCAACGCTCTGAAACGTCGGTTCAGCCCAGAACTGTAACGGGACACCCATCACCCGAACCCAGAAGGTTAAAGAAGAAGGGTATGATGGATCGACCGAAGGCTTCCACCGCACTAGGGAGACCATCCAGTGGTCGAAATGAAATGGCTCATTCTTCAGAACCGCTTCAATATCTTCCTCTCTATCGAAGTCGAACTGAAACTTGCCAAGACCCAAATCCGCCCCCACAACCCTCCCTTCCACTTGCCATATACGGGGCAACATGAAAAGCAAAGTCTTCATATCCTGCAAACGAGGATTCAGACACCGACCTATCACCGTATTAGCATAACCCGCTATCAATGCCGAATTGTCAAAATGAGGAACCTTGACTCTTTTCATTGGCATCACCGAACCAGATTTCTTCCCCGCTAAACCTTTACCGAATTGAGAGACTTGAGACATCTCAGAGCCAAAGTAAAACCCAGAAACGAACAAGAGGATCACCGAAGAAAGGTAAAACAGCACTAGAACCAGATAAACCAGATAAACCAGAGATAGAAGAAAGGAATCGCTCTCAAGAAGATGAAACAAGGTGTGAAGCGTGGCAAGAACTCGTCGACGATTCCACTCTTTATACCCAACCGAAATTCCCAAACTTGGAGAGTACTCCGCATTTAACCCGATCTGTCCAACTTCGAGAATAAGGGAACGAAGATATCGTCCATCCCATTTGCTTTCCATAATCGCTTGATTCCATTGCCTACGGAATCCTGAGAGAATCGAAATTTTCCACTTTCCATACGAAAGAGGAAATGTTGAATCAGAGATTCGCTCTTCGTAATCCCACCATAATCGTTCATCGCCACTGATTCTGCTTTTAAGACCTCCCAAAAAATGACCCCCATATCGCCAATCTTCTTCGCTTCTGAGGATCCTTTGGAATAAAAGATCTTCCTCAAATCTTTCGATAGTAACCAAAACCTCTTTAAATACCAAAAACCAAGTGAGAATAAAAACTGTATACCATCGATCCCTGATAATAACCACTCTCAGACCGCAGATCCACCGAATAATGACCAAGATCTCACCAAACATGAAAGGGTTTCAAAACCCTAAATCGCCATCCGCCGCCCCCTCTCGCCTATACGAACTATGATCAACAATATGTTGTGTTGGACAAGTTTAATCCTTTTAAGATTGATTTATACAATATTAATAATTATTAAATATATTTCAATAAAATCAGTAAATCTTTAAAATACATAAAAATTTAAAAGTAAATAAATAAAAGTCCATCCAGTTTTTTTGTATTACGCAATATATGTGCTAGTTTCCTTTTTCTTTCTTTTTCATTTTCATATTTTAAAACGGGCTGGTTTTAAAACGGGCCGAGACAAATCCGTAATAGCAACTATATTGAAGACCATAACAAAAAAACAAAAACATGAGATTGCAGAGTGGTTCGGTCAGGTCGCTTGATTGGTTCTGAAATGTTGAGAAGAAAACCCACAAAAATCCAACTCAAAATCGAAGACCGCGACGAGCTTGAACAGTCACGCAAATCTCAGCCACCCACCACCACCACCACCGCCGCCGCAGCTTCCTCCTCTCTCCTCCACCTTATAGACCCAAAACACAAAAACCCATCTTCCAAATCCGACAGAATCGGTCTCTCTTGAATAACCTCCATGGAAGTCGAAGTCAAGCTCCGTCTTTTAACCGCCGCTGCTCATCTCCGTCTCACCACTCTTCTAACTCCTTTCCACCTCAAAACCCTTCACCAACGCAACATCTTCTTCGACACACCCAAAAACGATCTCTCCCTCCGCCGCGCCGTCCTCCGTCTCCGCTTCCTTCAAAACGCTGCCGTTTCGTCTCCGCCTCGTTGTATTGTATCTCTCAAGGCGAAACCAACTCTTGCTAATGGGATTAGCCGTGTGGAGGAAGATGAAGAGGAGATTGATTATGGGATTGGTGAAGAATGTGTTGATTCACCGGATAAGCTCTCAGCCGTTGGATCTAGGGTTTTGAAAAGGGTTCAAGAGGAGTATGGGTTTAAAGACTTTCTAGGGTTTGTTTGTTTAGGTGGGTTTGAGAATGTTAGGAATGTGTATGAGTGGAGAGGTGTGAAACTTGAGGTTGATGAGACTAAGTATGCTTTTGGGAAATGTTTTGAGATTGAATGTGAAACAGAGGAACCAGAGCGTGTTAAGACTATGATTGAGGAGTTTCTTACAGAGAGCAAGATTGAGTTTTCGAATTCGGACATGACCAAGTTTGCTGTTTTTCGTTCAGGAAAGCTTCCTTGACATGGTTAGTCTCTCTTAATCTCTGTGGTTAGCTTGTTTGTTTGTTGTATTGGTACTTAAATCTTTTGAAGTCAAGATTGGATTATGAAGAAATGGTTTCTAGTATAGAATGGTTAGCTTTCGATGTTTCGATTGAACATGTTAGTAAACGCTAGAGTGTTATCTTTTGAAGTGAAGTTGGGGTTTTGAAGAATTGATTTCCATTAGATTATTGTATAGAGTGTCCTTTTTATAGATACGTCTTAAACATTTCAGTATGATGTCTTGTTAGTTTGTTTGCTTGGTCTGAAGGACCTTTGTATATACTATTCTGATTCATATATCTGTCAGAGATGCCTAAAATGGTGTAACTCTTCTATTAATATGTATTGCTAAATAACTTCATATCCATTTTGTGGATTGCTTTGTGGAATCTTCATATGGATGCTTTGATACAATTTTGGTTTACCTTGTTTGGTTTCATTTTCTGAAAATTTCATTTTATAGATACGTCTTAAACGTTTCAGTATGATGTCTTGTTAGTTTGTTTGCTGGTCTGATGGACCAAAGTTTGCATCTTGATGTGTATATGCTATACCCTGATTCATGTATATGTCAGAGACGCCAAGACTGGTTTAACTCTTCTATCAATATGTATTACTACTTATCTTCATATCCATTTTGTGGAATGCTTTGAAGAGACTCATACAATTTTGGTTTACCTTGTTTGGTTCCATATGATCTAATTTACTGTGTTGTGTGTTGAATAGGTGGGAAGAAGAATGGCTTCTTGGTTCATGGATTTTGGGCATCAGCATGATTAACTTTAAATTAATGGCCAGCTGCAAGAATAATTACTATTGAACTAGATGATCACATTGTACCATTTCTCAATGTCTTTTTCATTCTCTCTAAGTTTAAGGATTGTTTCCTGAGCCTTAGTATTACTTTGGAATTGTGTTTTTTTTTTCTCTTTCTGTAAATTTAATTTCAACCAAAGCTTTCGCACCTGTGGGATGACAAATGTTAACACTTTACATAGAGAGAACCTAATGATGGAGACAAAATGTAGGGTTTAGATTAGGATTCGTTAAACAGCTGAAATAAAATTCAAAAAGGCCCCTTATGTGTTTGCATTTGTTTGGTTCGATCGTCAGCTGGTTGGAGGGTTGTCTCGTTTCTTGTCTCTACAAATAAAAACCTGATCGATGTCTGGTCGGTTCAAAGGCTTCTAATTAGGTGTTCAAGGTTGTTGCTTTCGACATCGTCGCTTTCTGAAGATTTGTGTAGGATTAGACTACATGACTTGGTTCGTCCTTGCCGGAATAGAAGTCTAGGTTTCCCTAGTTGCGTCGCTAAGTGATTGGCTTTGATTATCTTGGTCCGTGGAACTTCGAATTTCAGTTCTTAAACCATAGAGTTTCGGTTTAGTCTTTTGTTCATTGGTTCTTCCTTTGTTGGTTTTCACTTTCTTTTATCCGTCTTGCTTCCCTTGTTTGGGCTTTGTTACCGAAGATAATTTGTGGATTACGAAAATTTGAAATAATTTCCAAAATTGGATAATAAAAAGAAATATGTATCAAATTTCCGTCCTAAACACTAACGATAAGTGTTTTGTTCGCTAAGACGCTCAGTAATGAAGCGACAGAACCTTTTGGCACAAGTGTCCTCTTGTATACTTTACATGTTCGATTAGATTTCTCCCACTTGAATGCTCTAATTATAAAGGCTACAACTACGCAACAATGGCAAGAGAAATAGCAACAGCAACCAAGAAAACTACAAAGCACGGTGGGCATTCATACCTCTAACCATAAGCAAATGTAGAAACAAGAAAAGAAGAAGAGACCAAAACATTCTAAACACAGAAGATGACTAAAAATCCACATAGAAAAATCACACATAACCAACACAAGATGAAATTTCAATAAGAGGACGAGAAGTATCCCTAGACTACTTAAACCAACACATAGCATCATCATCCTCTTCAAGTCTTAACCATATCCAAAGCACAAACATTTGTTAAACTCATGATTTCATTTTCTCTTCTTAGAAGGAGGCTGACGAACATCGTCATCGTCTTCCTCATCCTCGTCTTCTTCCTCATCCTCGTTGTCCTCATCTCCATCGTCATCATTATCACCCTCCTCATCATCATCGTCATCATCATCATCACTTTCTCCTCCACCACCGTTGGCCACTGGATCATCCTCTGGATCAGCTTCTTCCCCTTCATCCCCTGAGAAATCTTCATCATTAGCATCATCCTCATCGTCGTCATCCTCATCAGCGTCTTCATCATCATCATCATCATCGTCGTCACTGTCACTGCCATCTTTGTTTTCCTCAACACGGCTTCCTCTTTTGTAACCCTCCTTCAGAGACAACCTAGAGAAAACATGAATACAGATTGTTTCATATATGATACAAATCTTTCACCTCTGAAAATACAAAGGGGAAGACAAGAAAAGGACTGTCCCAGACTCACCTCTGGTCAACAGCAATCAAACCCATCAGCAAAGATTCTGCCTGAGACAATTACACAAGAATGCTTGTTAAAATAGGAAGAATATGATAAAGATGTGATGCATTAATGCAAGATTCATCGAAAAGCGAAGTTCATGCTCCAACAAGGTAAGCAAATAACAACAACCAACACTAAAAAAAACCTAAACTTTCATTCATTGTGTATGGATCTAAACTTGCAAAGTAGAACTTCATTTGTGTTCTGCTTTATTAATTACCCAACTCGAATAACACATCCTTATTGCAAAGAAACAAACAATGAATGAACAACAATTGGCTAAACCCACAAGATAATAAAAGTGACCAATTAACAAAAAGAGTGGCACTGGACATTTGTTACTAAGCTACATTCAACTTCATAGTCAAAAGACTCCTCTAGAACCGTTAAAACACAAGACCATAGTAACAGAGAGTGCTTTAAACTTGCACATAGCTAAACTCAAACCAAAACAACATCAGCACAAAGTCTAGACCCTAGGAAAAGCTTAGCACAAAGCAATTTCTCAATCTATAAACCTTAAATTAAGACAATTCCAACAGAACAGGAAGTACAAAACAAGAGAAGAAGAATCCCTAATGTTCTTTGCAAATCAATACAACACAACAACCACAACTACAAAATCCTAACAGAGAAACAAAGCAAATCTACAAGAAGACTGATAAAAAAAACCAAAACCCAAAAAAAAACTTGTCTTTACCACAAGGAGCAGACAAGCCAGATTCTTTCCGACGAGGATGAGAAGAGACTCAGTGACAGAGCAAGCCCATGTCTGTTGACTCTGCGTTACCATTGACCCAGCAGCAACCACTTCCATATCTACTCGAAATTGAAGACAAAAACACTCTTGTAAGAGATGAGAAGACAGAAAGTGTTAAACTTTAACAAAAGCTTTCTACAGGAGACCAAGAGACAGGGAGAGGAGAGAACCTGAATAGCTTATGTGTCTAGATCCGGTCAAGGTAAACCCTAGATTTTGGTACGACTAGGGTTTTTTTTTTTTTTTTTTTTTTTTTTTTTTTTTTTTGTCTTTGAGGTTAGATTTGATTTTATAGATAGATTAATTGCTATGTCGACATATGATAAAAAAAAAGTTTTTTGATTGGTGAAATCTAGATTTTTATGCTGATTATTTAAGAGCATTTGGTTTTTTGATTAGTGAAATCTATATTTTTATCCTGATTATTGAAGAAAATTAAGTTTTTTTTTTAATTAGTGAAATCTATATTTTTATCCTGATTATTTAAGAAAATTAAATAATTTAGTTTTTTGTATCTATATTAGTATTTTTGAATTATATTTTAAAGAATAAATTTTATTTTGTAAATAATTGAAATATCACTGATTAAAAAAAAATTGGGAAGCTTATTAAGAGTATATTTGTGATACTTATCTACTATCCTTGAAAAAAAAATTAAAATGTCAAATATAAAATTTTAAATAACCATACAATTTTTCATAATTAATAATATGGGTTTTTAAATTATTATTTTTTTTTTTTTTTTAGGTTCTCCTATCGACTATCGTCTTTGTTTTATTTTTATTTTTAGTTAATTTGAATCATCTATCATACATAAAATAAATAAAACTCTATATATTTTTTCTACAAATGTTGTGATTCATATTTTTAGGAATGTACACATATTTCTCAATCAATGACGAAAATATGTGGTTAACGTCTCACATCAGCTGAAAATAGATGATTTAGAATCGTATTATAAATAAAACAAAAATGAGTTCAAATCTAAAACAAGAAGTTTGACTCAATAAGCATCCAAATTTAAAAACTTGTATTTGGTTCTTTAGTTGAACAGTTTCATTATACCAAATATAATGATTTAAAGTTTTAAATATTATTATTGCTATATTTATATACCTATACAATATATGAATTATTCTACACCAATAACTAAAAAATCCCGAAAAACTGAAAACATCCGAATAACCGAACTGAAAACCCAAATTTATTTGAATGCGCAAAGACTAGAAATTTTTTTTGCAAGACTTGAAATTATCCGAAGCATATCAGAAATATCCCAAATACTCGAATTTTTTTTAGAACCGAAACCAAAAAGATACCCAAAAATATTTCGATTCTAGACCGGTTTCTTGTTCAAAGAACCAAACTAACCAAAATAAAGACGAACCAAACCCCAACAAAACCAAAATTCTTAAAAAAACCGAATTGATACTAAACTTAATATCCAAAATCCGCTAAATAAGAAAAAAAGAAAAGAAAAAAGAACATCATGAAGTTTATTGGCAATGGTTATAACTTATTAGGAGGTGATGGCTTCTCATGATCAAGTTCTCCTTGAAGGAGACTATAGCTCAAGAGTCACCAATCTTTAGGTGTTATACTGGAAACCTAATGATACTATACTGGTGTGATGGAAACTAAAGTTACAAGATGAAACACCAATCTACTTAAAAGTCTACAGGGAAGCAAATTTTGTCATAACGTAATCCAAAAGATCTGCTGCTAATGATTTTTCAAGACCAATAACACTAAAGATTTGCGAGAAAGAAAACAAAAAAAAAAACAAAATTTCAAAATATAGTTCCACAAAAGCAATATAAAAAAGTATAAATGACAATCAAAGATTCCTCACATCAGTTACTACACATAAGATCCACCAAACTGTCACACATAATGTACACAGTAAACCTGCAAAAGAAGATAATAACCAACTCAATGGCCCTTGCTTCTTGGATCTTCAGAGTGCATAGCATTGTAGTCTTTTGTATAAACCCGGTGCCTCCTCTCTCGCGCGTATATAACCCAAAACACCAAAGACAACATTACACCAGCAGATACCAAGACAAGACCCACATAGATCCATTTTGTGTATCTCTTCAGTCCAGGGCAATGATCTCTTTCTATATCGGTGAATGTAGACCTCACGAAGTCGCACCCTTGCAGGTCTGCCAAGAATGGACCGTATTTGTATAGACCATAGCTTACATTAACTCCTGCAGCCATCTGGTCATAAAGCTTTGGGGTCAAACGTCCTTGTGTGCTACATGTTCCCGGTGTTACGATTTGGCAAGTGAAGCTCCTCCACACCTGCATAAATACAAAACATAAGACAGACTGTGATAAAAGATTTCCCTTTTCTTGATTTCAAAACTGCATTAAGTGTCGTTGTGAGACTCATCTAAACGAAGAGAGAGTTTTAGAGGTTTATCGGTTTGACAACTAGAGAAAGGCTTTGAGAGTTTTTGGTTTTGTTTGAATCTTTTGATTTCAGTTTCTAGTTGTGATTCTGAATTCAGAAATATATAGATGGAAACTTAGATTTACCTCTGTGGCATTGTTCAGATGAACCTCACCAGGCTGGCACTGTTTGTCTGAAAGATCCGCGTTGAAGGGGTTACATAAAAGGGGCATTAGAGGACCGGACTGGTTGTAATACAAGGGCCGCATCTGAGGTGGGAGGTTCCTGTTGGCCATATTGCGGATGGCATTGTCAAGAAGGTTGACCAACTGGTATGTCACAAGCTTAGACCGAGTCAATGTTTCTCTCGCGGTTGCATTATCAACACAAGGTAGGATATCGTCTAGAGCCGTGTGAGCTGTTGGGTGTTGGACCCATTGGTCCATGGCAACACACGTATCCCCTACAACACTGACAAAGTAGAAAACCTTTTTTTTTGAGAAAGCTTTCAATGCATTGAGTAGACTAATGGTAAAGAGAGAACAGAACTCACTTGTGAAGAAGCAGAAATGCACCACACAAGATGAAGGTACCCGTGACGAGAATCCAACCAAGGATCACCAACCTACACATTGATAATCACAAAAATTTCAACAAAGACGGGAATCAACATAAACCGGAACATATGAATGAGAATTCACTTACGTGTACACAAGGCACTGCAGTCCAAAGATAGAGAGAACTGTAAAAAAATCACAATGAGAGTTTGTAATCAATAATAACTCTTAGACATTTTCTGATGCATATAAGTCTAGACGACTTACGAAATCCAATAAACGCAAGGAAAAGCATCACAGCAGCGATGATGACGAGCGCAAGTCTCCTGTAATAAATAGAGAAACACAAATCATAAGCAAGAATGTGATAAACAGATGAAAGATAACAACAATATGGTACTGTATTTTTACATGTTGTCTAAGACATTTTGAATCTTGTCTTGATTCTCCATTGTTTTAACAGAAAGAGTTGTAGCAGAGGAGTTAATCTTTCCCTGTATGTTATCGATGCTCGACAGAACATCCTGTGGTAGAAAGGTGGCTTGCACATCCACCTTCTTAGCAGCATTGAGATAATCTGACACATTCCTGAGGTTTTCTGATGTGAGATTTGCCTGACTCACTACATAGTCCAAAGTATCTGTTGTGCTAGCATGAAACTTCCCTTGACCAGTGTAAAGGAAAACACATCCTATACTGTAAGATCAAACACCAACATATAAGGGATAGTAACAATGATGACAATAGAAGACCAAAGTAAAAGAGAGAATGAGACTTACATTGCGGCAATTGTGAACGCTATGAGGAGGATAAGGGATAGAGCATAAGCAATCCGAGAATAGCCGTAAGGTTGACGGGCACAGCAGCAATAACAAAGGCAAATCAGAGACAACGATAGCCCGAAGAACACAAACCAGACTCCTGCTATTATAATGAAAGGCGCTGCCGTGTAACCAACAGACTGCACCACAAGCAATGAATGAGAAAGATTGTATTGGTCAAAAGTATATAACTCACATCTTTCATTCATATAAGCATAAAACTGATACAAACAAGAATGCTACTCCAATTTCATTAAGATGAAAAATTTATCATTTGGTTTCAAAAAGAAACTGTACTAATCAAGAAGGCTAGTCATTGAGCATAAATACACCTATAAACAAAATCAAACTTGACTTACCTAGAGATTTGATAGTAAAGATGAAAACTTTAAATCAAAATATAGAATTCTACGAAGAACCCAAATCAAACCAAAACTAGTTGTATCCTAATCCACTGTTTAATTCAATAGTAAACATAATTACACCTCAAAAGTTAAAAACAATCAAAACTCCACTAAGCCAAATCGTTACTAAAGATGAAAACTTTAAGAATCCAAGAACCACCCAAGTCAAAATGAAGCATACCCAACTTGGCAAGAGAGAGATTTTACATACACACCCAACAAAAGAAAAAAGTTTTGGACCACTCACAGTCCAATAATGAGAATTGCTTATATTCCATCCACCAGTGTAGAGCTTGAAATTATCTTGAGGATCTTTTCTTTTGGTTTTCTTTGCAGCCAAAATCAAAGATGAGTTTACTGCAGCTTCCTCTGCAATAACTCTTTCTATTACACTTGTTGTCCTGATCCATTCTTCTACACCTCTTCCTTCTTCGTTACCAACCCCTAAAACAATCCAAAACCCAAATTAACAAATCTTTTTAAAGAACTGAATCTATACGATAATAAATGAAGTACATTAAAAAAAAAATGTTATTACCAGTGGCGGCGACAAGAAGAAGCGAAGAAAGAACACAACACACAAGTATAAACACTTCTCTTTTGTTAGATCTGGAACACAACATTATGTTTGGTTTGTTTTTTACTCTCTCTGTTTTTTTTTTTTTTACAAAAGAAATGTTTTATTCTTGATGATCGTGTTTGAGAAAACAATGGGGTCACGTTAAGAACACGATTGATTTTGAGAGCCGACGCGGTTCTCTTTTTTTTTTTGTTTCTCTTCCTCGAATCATCCATCATCGGGAGTTTTGATGATAATTGATTTTTTTTTTTTTAATGTTCCAAATAAATTTTCATCAAATTGTTTTTTAATGTTCATTATTAAAAAGATGTTCCAGCGAATTTAAATTCTTTTGGTAATTTAATTCAATTTTTTTAACAAAGCATCAAATTTTTATATGGTTTCAAATCAGGAATAGAATTTTTTGTTTTAGTGTTTAAATATTAAAACTTGTTGTATAATTATAATTAAATTACTAGAATCATAACATGATTTTTAATAAAGCATCATTTTATTATTTATATATGGTTTCATATCAGGAATAGAATATTTTGTATTAGTGTTTAAATAATCAACACTTGTTCTATAATTATAATCAAATTTACTAGACACATACACATGATTTAATAAAGCATAATTAATTTTATATGGTTTCAAATCAGGAATAGAATATTTTGTTTTAGAATTTTAATGTTTAAATAATCAAAACTTGATGTATAATTATATTAAATTTACTAGAAACATACACATGATTTGTCTAAGTTATGTCCACGCGTCATAAAGCAAATCTTTGAGAATAAAGACTTGTTGTTGGACGTGACAGAGATATTTTATCTTTTTTTTTTTTTTTTGTCACAACTGTCATTTTGTTCGGTTCGAGTTTCGTATTCAATAGACAATTCAAAGAAGATTTTTTTTTTTTTGGTTTGTGAATCCATTGAGAAGTGAACATGTGTTTGATCTTAAATCTTATGTTATCTTCTCTCCAATAGCTTTAGGCCGTGTTCTTGTTCCGGTCATTGTCGCTGCGACTTGGTCCTGAACAAGGTTTTATAAACGATTGAACTGAACACGTATTTGGAAATAGCTAGTATAGTATAATATGAAGGATGAAATGAACATGTGTTCCTTCTTGATTAGGTTACTTCTCATGTTCTTTTTTTATATATATTTTATTTTACTTTTGTTTGGCCTTTACCTGTTTTTGCTTTTGTGACAAAGGTCAAGAAAATAAATAAATTTTAAAGAAAAAAAAAAGTAAAAGAAGAAAATGTAAAGGTACTTATACACTTTAGTTGATATGGACAATGTGATAAAATAAGTGCCCTATAGGTCAATAAAAACTAGATTAGGTATTTTGCTAATCACTTTTTTTGTGCTTAATATGCTCTCGAACTTTCGCCAAGAATCTAATTTTACATAAGAATAAAGCCACTCCTACGATCGTTTACCAGAATCGTAAAAACTATAAATTATCTTTTTTTTTTGATGATTATCATATGCAAAATCATTCTAACATAATTAGTTATCTTTATAAGAAAATTACAACACTTTTTTACTTTAGTGATATATATATTTGTAGACCAAATTGTAGTGATATAAATGAGTTTATTCAGTGATATTTTTTTTCCTAAGTAACACTTATTTTAATACTTTTTAAACAAAAGGTTCACATTCAATTATATAAGTTATAAACCAATCGGAAGCAAAACGAAAGTTAAAAAAAAAAAGGCTGAAACCAATTGAAACATATGACAATAACCTTGCCAAAGGTATCGGAGATCAGAGAGGATCTAGGTGAGCCATCAACCAAATCTCGCACTTGATGAATCCCATTGGTAGTTGTCGTGCATATTCTCACAAATAAATTTGGACAATCAGAGTTTCCACAAAATCCTTGACAGAATATTCTTTAGAAAATTGGTAGCTGTTTTCAAAGATGGTGTTTTTTAACATCTAGTACTCATCCGCCAAGATATGTTTGAGTGCCACCACCTTACAATAGGTTAAATTTATTTATTTTTGGTTGAAGAGGGGAGACCAAGGTCTTCCTTATTATTAAACTAAAAAACACTACAACCGAACATGTCGAGAGAACGTAATCCCCCAAGCATCATCGTCTAAAAGAGAAAGCATACAATTAGGACAAGAATCCAATAAAAATAAACCGAAAGGGTGAAAAAAGCATTGTTTGCCAACCCGTTGGCGAGACGGTTAGCCTCTCAATACACATGAGCAGGACCGGCCCTATGGTAAAGCAAATAAAGCAACAGCTTTAGGCCACATTATTTATAATTAACAAGGCCACATATGTATTGTTTTGATGGTTCAAAATAGTGTTATTTACCTTTTTAATGGTCCATCTAACATTATATTTTAAAAGTACAGTTCCTTTCTTAGACTCTTGGTCTCTTATCACGTAACTATTATTTTGTTGTTCTTTATTTTTCTTCTATTTTTATTTTCATTTTTCTAAATTTCTAAATCTATCATCCTAAATGTTTACTTTACACTTTAAATTATTTTCTAAAAAGCCAATAATACTACAAAAAATGAGAGGAATTTTCCACTATTTAGAATTCAATGAATTTGATAGGAAAAATTAGAAAATGTTAAAATATCTAACCAACTTTTGTAATTATACTACCTAATTATTTACAAAATATAATTAAGATAATTAGATACATATATATATATATATAATCTATAAAATAACTTTTATCATGTGTCAATATATAGGTTGGACATATTCTTTTTTGAAAAATAAATTTGAAACATATTTTTATTTTTTTCCGAAAATTTCAATGTAACTAATTATTTTTTGTATACTAAATATTAAGGCTATTTATAAAAATGCTTTAGGCCACAAAATGTTTAGGACCGGCCCTGCACATGAGAGATATGAACTGTCTAGTCATTCGTAAGAAAGCCATATCACAAGCGTATTAGGAACGACAAGGGATGAGTGTCACTTATCCATGTCGTTAAGAAACCAACTACCAACTCTGAATCTACTTCGAGCTCCAATTGAGAAATGCCCATTTTCATGCTACACAAAGCCCATAATAGACCCCCATAACTATGCTCGTGGTGCTGAACAAAACCCTATATTATTATAGGTTAAGCCATACAGCCATCATCCCTCCACATCCTACCAAATTCCCCCTGCTGTAGCTAACCCGGGATTTTCCCTAGACCATCCATGTTAAGCTTTATCCAACCTACTTGCGGTGGAGACCAACCAATTTGCCTCTCAAGCCTCGTTGGTGCTATCGTTCCCACACGTGACACTAAATGAGCTTTATGTACCTCACTCGAGTGTTACAATACGTTGAATTACGAAACTAAACAAAAACTATAATTATAGTTTTCTTACACCACAGTGTAATGAAATCAAAGATTAATTATAAATTTGTTCCACCACATAGTAATGAAATCCGATATTTCATTAATTGGAAGTGTATATATTATTGTTATAAAATCTTTAAACATATATTAAGAGTCTCATAATATAAAAAAAACAAGTGAACTAGCATATGATATTCAACCACCAAGTCATGGTTTATTTAGTTTATAAGTTATAATTAGAACATGTAGATTCGTTGGTATAAATCAGAAAAATCTTTTAAAAAATTTTCTCAAATAGAAAAATATGCAATACATTTTTTTTTTTGGAGAGCTGATTGAAATTTCTTTTTTTTTTTTGGGGGAAGAAGAGAGAGGAAGACAAATGTTTCTCCTAATTTACTTATTAAAAATTTGTCATATTATAATCGAACATGACGTGCAAACTCAGCTGATTGAAAGTTATTATAAAATTAAAAATTGAGCTATCTAAATAATGTGCAGCCTGCATATTTTTTATAGGTTTTTTTTGGTTTTTTATATTATGTTTGTCAACTTAGTAAACTATGATCGATAGTGTATAAGCTTAGTGTAAAGTTCAATGTTATATTTGGTGATGAACTGACCAAAAAAACAAAAGATTTTACCATTTGGTGATGAACTTCTCAATTCTATTGATTTAAAATCAATACGATAAAGTAGAATGATTGACTATTTGTATAGGAACATCCAGGTTTCTTAGTTGACTTGGTTATGAAAACCAACATGTTCACAATCATCTGTATTTCAAATTTTTTTAATATAATTTGTTTTATTTTCTTCTTTCTTCCTGACAACACTTTACTTTTGTTTTCTCATTGGAAAAACAATTCTAAATGCACATGTAGCGTTAACTTGCTGCGCGCCGATGTAGTCACACTTGTCCATTTACGTGAATGTCATCTAATATTATTGATAATTATTTGGGAAAATACTGTGGACAAGCAAGAATAAAATTTTGATGGGTGCAAAAATCATACTTAAAGATACTAAACACATTTACGAACGTAGTTTATGTTCACCCATTATCTTGAAACCTTTTTTTTATCACTGTTTCATTGGTTACATCTTCTAATATATTTGTTTCGATATAAAAAAAATGAAGCAAACTCTTAAAAACTTATCATTACTGCAATTACGTCGAATAGTTTTCACAATTTTCATTTCTGAAAAATATCTTTCGATAATAACAGTTCAAGTTAAAGTTAACTTTAAAAACCTATAAACTAGAGAATGAGAAAGTCTTTTTTTTTTCTTTTTTGCTTTAAATTTTTATAAAGTGCAAACATCTTACAAGGTTAAAAAGAAAATTGGCACATAAACCCAAAAACATACACGGTCCAAAGACCCAGAAAGGTACTCATCTCCCAATATTTAGAAGGCTGCCTGAACAATCCAAGATGCGCATGCCCATGAGACAACTAGAAAAGCCCCAATGGAAAACCTTACCTTAATGAGACAAGACCCAACAAGCTTCTAAACCATATTAGCGAGGTTGATAATAGGTGAACCAAGTGTCCAGCAAAGTTGTGTCCTGGTTTTTACCATCTCAATGAACTTCACAACTTAATTGGTTGAGAAAGTTTTTTCCTGGTTTCTACATTCTCCGTGCTAGGTCTCCACGATTTCACATCTTAGAAAACCATTATTATCTTTTTACACATTAACAATATAAAATATCAAGTTGATATTCACTCTATACGACTAAAATCTTTAGGATAAAATTCAGTCAAAGTCAATAACTTCTTTTTATCAAACTCATGGAATGAATCAATAAGATTTAAAGCTGATGTGCAAATACATAATTCAGAGTTTGTCTCTTTAAATCAATCATTAAACTCTTAAAATTGCATATCTAAAACGAAATAAAAACAAGTTACCTGGTAATGATGCAAATTGGTGATGCTAGTCTTTTTACATGACTTCCATGAATCAATGAAGTTTTCCTCCATGTTGAGAATCTCAATGTTTTGTTTGTCACAAAAATCTATAAATTAAACTTTTCCACAAAAGAATTTCATCCACTATTCTTAACTTTGGTAGTTCTCCCATTGTGGATTCAACTTATGAGATAGCTTTTATGATGTCTTGATCTTTGGGTTTGAATATCCATCGATAAATTTTCTGTTAGTCCTAGACTAAGCAACATCAAGTGTAGATAGAATACACACTCAAAAGTATGAATGTATTTGAGAAGATTATTTGTTTGACTTCTTCGGGCATTGTCTATACCTTTATCTTGGACATACTCAAGTACCTTAATCGTAGAAGAAAACAACTCTACTAACCGCAAGAATTTGTAATAATGAGATCCCCACCGTGTCGTTCAAGGTGTTTGAAGTGAAGACTCTTGATTCAACCCTTTTCCAGTGTTAATCTCACTACTACTTATTCCTTTCTCAATTTCATCCCGATAAATTTCCCGCATCATATCCTTTCTTATGCATAAGCTATAACCACATTCACAAACAAAGAAATCTTATCGAAGAAATCTCCAACTTCAAATTGTGTCTTGGAAATCTAAACAACAACCAATTAAAGTTGGTGAGAAAACAGTGTACATAGTATACCGACTTCACATTGTGTCTTGGACATAATATTCGTTTACATAGTATAATTTCATATTAAAATATTTTGTGAGTTATACTATAGTAGACGTACAACCCATAAAAATATCTATAATCATAATTATATAAATTATAACCCGTTCTATCACATGACCCATGCTACACAATTATCAATAATACTTTAGTACATCCATTGTTTTTATCGTTTGAGTAATACATCCGTTTCTAAAAATTCGAATTGCAACATATGCAAAAAAATAAATATTTTTATCATACATATGTTTATGTAATAATATAAATTTTAAAAAAAATATCATATAAAGATGTTGGAGAAATATTTGATTTATTAGGGAGAGATTTTAGGAAACTTTGTTAAATGTAATAAATATTGATTTCTAATTTTGAAATTTTATTAAGATTTAATTACAAAATTTATCTTAAAACTTTTTTTATTAAATCAAATGACAAGGGTTTAATTATGAAAATATTACAAAATAAAAGGGTACAACACAAAAGGTACTTAAAAAATGTTAATATAGACAATATCTTAACTAAACGTGATTCTCACGCTGATACATCTTCACATTTAAAGCTTCGCGCTAAACAAATTGATATCTTATTGTTTATATTTCGCTTAAACTTATTCAGTTTACCATAACTAAATTCGTTACACTGTTATATTAACAAATATTAGTTTTTTTTAAGCTTACGATAAAATTGTTATATTATAATGATATATATATTATTTAATCAGCCAGAAATGGCATATACAATATATATCATATTGTTTATATGTTTAAATTTTAATTTACTATTAACAATACTTCTCTTTTAATACATACTAGATTTGGACCCGCGCTACAGCGCGGGGGAATGTTTACGGATTTATTTTATTTTTAACGTGTTTTATCGTATGTGTTATTATTTGTTTCTTTAGTATCCATAACTATTATTTCAAAATGTATATTTGGTTTCAATTCCTTGGAAAAGTGTGTGTCACAAAAAGCGTATGTATAACGTCACACATCGTCTAAAATATTGTTTACAATAGTTCAGATCACTATAAATAAGACCAACATGCTTCAAAATAAGAATGAGCAGTAAACTTGATTTATTAAACATCCAAATTTAAATATTTTATTTGATATAACCCAGTTTTAAGTTTCAAGAAACTAATTTTTAAAAATAGCTTCAAAATATTATAATAGTTAAAAAATTAAAAATTTCATATATTATAATTATTAAAAAAATTTAATTGGTTCAAATATTATAAATATATAAAATAATTGATAATTTTGCAAAGGGTCAAAATACATATTAAATTACTAATAATTTTGCAACGAGTCAGACCATGATACACAGTACTTAAGTTTCAAAACCAATTACTTTGTAATACAAAATCTTACATAAATATAATTTTAAATTATATAGAAAAATTATTCACTTTTAGTGAATTACGGATCCTAAATTAGATGACTGTATAAAAAAAATCGATTTAACAATATGAAACAACATTTCAAATATATTAAAAACGGTTACCTTATTTTTAGAAATCACATTTTCTAATACTAATCAAATAGTATTGTTAATATAACAATGCATTTGTTATGTTATACACATATAAATTCTATTTTTTTTGTTAGTATACACGTATAAACTCTAAAAATTACTCTATATTGTTAATTTTCCTCAAACCCTTACGATTTTATATACACGCTCTTTCAAAAACTATGTCCATATCTATATACAACATCATTCATTAATCTTAACATAATCTGATTTAGATTAAAAAAATAAAAAATAAAAATCAGCTACTTTTCCTGCGCAGTTATCGTCTGTATCGTTAATTGTATTGCAAGACTAGTTTTCATAATTTATATTGCAAGACTAACAACAAATTATGAAGTAAATACATCTACATTAACACAAAAAAAAACCTAAATAAAACCGGTAATCTTTCCCCACGTTATAGCACGGATCCGGACCTAGTTTCTTAGTGAAACAGGTTGTCCCTTCTCACTAGGCCACATACAAGTTACTTGTATCACAATAAAATTCGTCACATGTGATTATTCAAAGATACTGAGGTATATTTTGGCAAACTGACAAACCTTTAGCGAGTGTTGCTACCTAAGCGTGTTGCCAATTTAGATTCTCGAGTCAACTGATTCAATAACCGATCCTAATAAAAATTAAAACACAGTAATCATGACAAGCAATTAACTTATAGAGTCAAGAATCAAAGACTCCATGAATCTATAAAAGAAAACGATTGTTTCTTATAAAATCGATGTCACACTCATCACTGTTTTTTTTAAGAAATCGGTGTCACACACTTTTCTTAGTAACTCGGACTTGCCAAGTGGTTTGGATTCTGAAACCTCTCAATACTTATTATCGAACAACTTCTCCCACACTCGTTAAAAGTTTGGATGGTTTGGAATACGGGAAAAATGTCATAAAAATCTCGAACTTTCAAATTTTGGACGATTTAATCCCGAACTTTAAAGAAGTCATTTTAATCACAAAGTTTTGTTGACTTTTCTGTAAAATAGCTAAGTTTTGTTGACTTAGACGATTTAAACACGACGTTTAGTTTCTCTTAAAATTGCAAAGACGGGGTTAACTATCCGTGAGTTGCTTCCGTTTCAAACCACAAAACGACGTCGTTTAACAAACCGAAGAAACTAAATCCCAAAATCGATTCATAATTCACAAATCTAACTCCCTAACCCTAGAAAAATCCACAAATTTTCTTTATTTCTTGTTGAATTGTTGTCATAGCGCGGACCCATGGAGGAAGAAAACGACTTCCAACGTCGTTCTGTCGTCTAAGAAACATGGTTATTTAGGCTAAACAAAAACAGCTCACAGATAGTTAACCACATCTTCAAGTTTTTAACAAAAATTAAATGTCATGATTAAATAAGTGAATTCAACAAAACTTAGCTATTTTACCAAAAAGTCAACAAAACTTTGTGATTAAAATTACTTCTTTAAAGTTCCTAATTAAATCGTCCCAAATTTGAAAGTTCGGGATTTTTATGACATTTTTCCCTTTGGAAAACTAAATAGTTCTCTCGACGAAGTCTTTCACAAATTTTATATGGTTTTATTCAGAATTTTATCGACGGAATCAGATAAATATCGGTTAAAAACCCATTCAAAGGATCATGTTTTTGAGGTTATTTATGGAGATCCGCTTCATCACTGTCCACAATCTCATTTTTGCGCTAATTAATGGGCACTAGTCTGAAATCGCTTTGATGTGTTTGCAGATATAATCCTATGTAAACTATTGATCTTTTCTTTTCTTCATCAACATAAATGTGCTTTAATGGCTTTAAATGATACTAACTGGACTACTTATTCTGATATAAGGAAATCGATAACTATTGTTAACTATTTAAATTACATGATTATTTAAATTACATGATTAAGATCTTTCGCATTGCCGGGTTTGGGTATAACTCAAGAGCTAGCCATGTCTAATTTTATCCCCTCAAACTTGTTGCTATTTGCTTATTTCCTATATTCTTTATCACCTTTATATTATGGTTTCTGTCTTCTGAGTTCTGACTTTATCATGGGATATGTTGCTTTCTATTTGCTTTTGTTTTTCACATTCCCTGTACAGGTTTTAAACGAGATGGTTATTGTAAAAGTATTTTCACATGAAACAGAAGAAAAACAAAATATAATTTAAAACTACATGTAGTTAAGACCAGAAGTAATATATAGTTGTATAGATACCCACATATAAGTGATCTACGTTGGCTTCAAATTATGAAACATAGCATCCCATTGTGTATCATCGAATCTTTTATTGTACTCCACATACACACTTGGGCTTGGTGGTCTTCCCTTCAACGGCCCTGATAATCTCAACCGTTCGTTTAAGTTCCCATCTAACTGTCCCGACACAACAGGACTTCTATAAGCTAGTATGAGTCTTTCTTGGACACTTCGATCCAATGGTCCTGATAGGTTCATGCTTCTGTTGCTTACTAACGTCATTTTCTCTTGCATTCCATGTTTTAGATCCAACGGTCCAGATTTTGCAATCCTTTTCCTCTTGATCACAGGTAATCTCTCCACTTGTACGTCAGCTTTTTCAGCATTGACTTTATTGTTGTTACCTGAAAGTTTCTAACTAAAGTTTCTCAACGTAGTAAAATGATGTTTTAACTAATACCAAACCCTAATTGTTACATAACCCTAATCACTTTATCTAGTTTCTCCTACCTATACACTTTTTTAGACTTCTTTGTTCAATCATAAATGCAGTTTTGTTGAACAAAATATTAGTTTGGTTGCAATAAGTAGTGATTAGTTAGGTGCATTATCTTAACCTACCAGTCAAAAACGTGCCGGAACGGTAAGCTGGCGGCGACGGCGACTGCTTCTCCTTCAATGGTTTAACCACGGCGGTTCCTCCTAGAGAAAGCCACTTGTTTAAGCGATCGCCGACACTTTTGGTAGCTTTGATGACGACAGAGATAAGCTTGGCCGAGACAGGACGAGGATGATTGGAACTGAGTGCTTTTGTTTCTCTCTTTGAGAGTTTAAGAATCTCTACTCGGTGTTTAGCTACATTAATGCCAAGTCGCCGGAGATAGTTGTGGTTGAAAAGAGCGATGTCTTCACTTCGGAGCTTCTTTTGGGCGAAGATGAGTCCATACTCGTAGCTTAGTGTTGGATCAAGATCGGTTTTGGACAGCCATGAGAACCAATCCATTGTGTGTGTGTGTTTGTGTCTGATGTTATGTGAGTTTGGAGGCTACATAAATATATATTATGTGTGTGTGTGTGTGTGTACTTGCGCAATTTATGGGTTATATTTTTGACTAAACGAATTCATGGTGGGCATATGCATCCATACTTTATACATACAAGAAAATAACAATATTTAAATTTAAATAACATATAAATTGATAACACTTTAAATGTTTTTTGGTCTCCTCTACAAATCAAAAAGTGTAAGTAGCTTCGATTATATTTATAAAGAAAATGTAAAGGTAATCAAAATTATTTTGTGTATGAGACACACATATACGGGACAAATAAAGGAGTTAACGAAAAATAAGGCTTTAGGCTTCTATATTGCTAAAGAAATAATGTAGTGGTTGTGAGTTGTGATAAAGATATATTTCTTTTTCAACAACTCCATTTTCTAATGTTTTCGAGAAAAAATAATTATATGATATTGAATGATTTAACATCATAGTTTAAAACTATATATTGTTGTAATTTCTTAGTCTACACAAAATCTTTATTCATGATAAAGAGTTACAAAAATAATAATCCAAAAGAGTAAGAAGCCTCATTACATACTTACAAACCTATTGTAATGGGGTTTTATGGTGTTGAGCATGGTTTACATTAAAAGTTTCTCCATGTTATAATTATTAGTTTCTTTTTAAATTAATATTAGTTTAGCACTATTTTTTACTAATTAGTTCCATACTTTTGCAACCTATATATAATGTATTTGGATCAATATCCAAAATATGAAAATCAATCGTCAAAATATGATTCAAGGGGATGTGTCTTAAGTCCAGTGGTTAAGTCCACTAGACTCCCACCACTAAGTCGTGTTACCCTTCCTAAGAGGGATTTGGCTATAGATCGGTTCTTGTTGATCCAAAGATGTCAAAAAAATATATCATTCAATATATATCTTCAAAAAGAATAATGTATGATTAACCAGTTAAACTACATATAATTCGCAATCAACGGACCACATTGGTTCCATTCAAAACATATATAATCAAAGATTTACCAAACCAGCTCTTAAAAACAAACTAAACTATAACTCATGAAACATGGACCACAAAGTATGTATGACTAATCAACAAATTAATTTGGTAGAGCAGATGCACAGTAGTCAATGCTCCACTCCTCAATTTATTGGCCGAAAGTGATCCATTATAGTGGTAGCCCCAAGTTGTGGTACCTGTCTTTAACCCAACCTCTACCTATATGACTCTCTTTAGTCTTACTCTTTGTCTTTAACTTCACATGATTTGGTACATATGTTTCTTACTAGTCTCCGTCTTTCACATGGTTAGCTTGTTCTCTATATTTAATCTAAATGGATCAAGTTCGAGAGACAGTACAAGTTCGAAACTCGGCGAAGTATACTATTACATTCATGTGCTTTTTAGTTTTTAACTATGATTACATATTTACTTCAGATATACGTCCATATCCCAAGGCCCGAGTTGAGTTAGAGTGACATTATAAACCTTTTTAGCCCAAAACTTTTAATAAGGAAGAGTGCAAAAAGCCTGAAAGCTCAATAAGCTTGATGAGAAGCACATATCCCTACTATAGTAAAAGAGAAGTACACAAGGGATTCGGGTCGGGTTTTTCAAAAAATTTCGGGTTAAATTTTCAATCGGATACTTGCCAAATTTTTTGTTAAATATTTTTCAAATATTTCAATAATATACAACAGATTCCTATCATTTAGGAAACTATATTAATGCTAAATAAAAATATGTCTTATAAGGAAAATTTGTTTATTAATATAAAGATGAGAGATCTCAATATTTTAAAAATATTCTAATTATTATATAAATTTCTTATATGAAAAAACAAAAAAAAATTATAATTTTTTATAAGTTTAAATATTTGATATATAGAAAAATATAATTTAAAAATATT